GGTGCGAAGTGGCGTCCTTGATTACTTTGCCGAGCCTAGGTATGGAGGGATGGAACGTGAAGGTGAGGGGGTTGCACGGTGGTTTAGGTCTTGGTTGGGAAAATAGGGCGTCCTGCCGCGAAATGTTAGATGCGCGACTGCTGGCATTGCGCAGAAGGCCGAGTGGGTAACCACGTACAATAAAGAAAGTGGTCATCGTTTTAAGCTTAGGACGGAAATCGATGTCGTCGCTGCAAATCCTACGGAGGCGGAGAAATTGTGGCAAGGGAATAGAGTTGATTCGGGATCCAGGATGGTTCGAGAAGTAGAGGAGGCAGCTATGGCTGTCAGAGGGTTTATAATGCACAGAGGTGTGGAACTTTTGTCCGTCACTAGTTATTTCTAAGTATAGGAAGTTGAAAGAGGATTTCGATATCAGTGAGGTAAACTTTAGGGAGGCGTGGGCGTTACAGACATCCTCCAACGCCTGTCAAATCTGGCCCTGACCCCCCACACTATTCTCTTCCCAATGGGCATCACTTCTCTCTACACGGTAATTCCTCACGACAAGCGACGTGCAACTGCGTACGACATTGTCCAAACTACAGTCAACTTGCACGGAAAACACAGTTCTCGGACACCTAAATCGTCCACAGCACGACGACCAGGGGACGGGAAACAAGCTGATCGCCAAACTGTGGTCAGTTATTCGTGCAAGAAGAGCTCAGTTGAAAAAAAAGGGTAGGTGAGGGGAGGGGGGGGGGGGGGGGGGTCGCTTTTAGTTCCGCTTTTGTAGAGGAGAGAAGCTCGACGAAGCCTTCGCTTTTAAAAATTTGAAAATGCGCGCAAACAACGTAAAAAAAAATTATAAAAAAAAACTTTTTGTTTGCTTACATTCCCGTTCAATTTTGTTCTGCTATATAGTTCCCGTTTTGGGTTGTCTCAACCTATCGAGGAAGGCACCTACTGAAACTCCTGTAGCAACCGGTTGTTCGGACGAAGGAAGAACAGGTGGACAAGGGAGAACGAGCTCAGAGGCCGAGCTCAGAACACCGGCACCTCCCGACCGGACTGGACTTCTATATAATTCTGTAAATAAAAATAGGCAGGGAAATTCGTTCCCTACACTCCCTAATGCTAGAACCACACACGCATACACATTAATATATTTAACGTTTGAAACATTTTTAAAACAGTCGGTAGTGTAGTGGGACGCGCTCGGAGCCGGCGGTGCTGCCGATTTTTGCCGTCCCATTGTTGCCTCAGTTGGCCACCGTGGCGCTGATGGTCAACCGACGGTGGCGCGCTCTGGGGCCCCGCGCCTATGCTAAAAGGGGAGCTGACAGGTCAAAACATATGTACAACGTATGTACGAAAGACGGAGGAAACACGTGAGAGATGTGACGTCATGGAGTCAGGGAGGAGGAAAAGTTGTCAAATAAGATGCAAGAGGTCTTTGTAGCCAGTAAGTGGAGGAATGCGGGCGAAGGGAAAGCTTAGGGTACCCCGCGTGACCTCCCATATGATCAACAACGAAAAACACTTTCAGCCTTTCCACTCTGGTGAAGAAGGAAGACCAGCGAAGCTGTACTATATGGTGGGAATGAAGTAATGGCCGGCCGCAAGTCGGCAAGCCAGAGTGGAAAGGCTAGAAAGGTTTCCGCCATTTATGACCAACGGAGGTTATCAGCTGGAAAGGTGCCGCCGTCGCTCATAGATGGCGGTAGCTGTCCAGAGATGTGTGTCTTTGCTGGCGGACACGATACTGGGGAAACTAGCCCTTAACAGCTCTGCTGTAAAAGAGGGAGGCAGGGAGGTAGAGAGAGAGGAGTGGGCGAGAAGGGAATGTCTTACAGCCGAAAGATTCTTGTTTAGACCGGAAGGGAATTCCGTCTAGGTTAAAAATTAATGTTTTTTTTCCTTTTTTGCGTGAGGTGGGTGTGTGGAAGCTTGATTTTGACGGATACTCGCATGTTGAGTTCGGAATGATTCGTGGAGTAGTGTTCAGATACGTGTGTGGAGAGGTCATGTTTAAGTTAGTTGAACATCCCCCTTGCATTAGCATTCCGCCCGCTTCCTCCTCTCCAGCCTTCCTTTCCCTCGCCCTTTAACCTAGAGTATAATCTGGTGTCTCCCTCCGACGCTCTGATTGACTCGCTGGGACCGTAGCCCTTTGTCAAGTTACGTTGAGACCAAGTCCCCAGCTGTTTCTTTTTCTTTGTCTCTCTTTTATCAGCCGCCATTACCTTGATCCATCATCCCCTCGTGACACGAGGGCGGCTCCGGTGCCTCGGCGGATACAAGAGAGACATCGCCGGCGCATCGACCCGATATAGAAACTGCGTTCCAGACTACTTGCCTGACTGGGAAATTTCGGCGTCGGGTTTAATTTGTATGCCGCGAGTTGCACTTACCTCATGACGTACATGTTAATGAATCCGTGGGGGCTTTAGGTTTCATTAGGGACCTGGCGTACGCTTTAAAGGTTGTTCATCAGGGTCTAGTGACCGGGAAAACCGGGAATTGTCAGGGAAATTTTAATTACAGGGAATTGTCGGGGATATTGTCACGAGCCCCCTCGGGGAAAACGAGCCGAAAACGCCATCGAGTGCCCTGAGCGGGAGGCACTCACTTGATCGAATCACGTTTTAGCGAACGCCCACGTTTCACCACACTTCAGCGAATAGTCGGACGCTGCGAAGCGGCGTTTTTGGGTAGGCCAAATGGGTTCGCGTTTTTGTAATGAGCGGCCGCAGACTGTCGCCGCGAAGCGGCGTAAGCGCAGCGCGGCGGATGGGTTAACGCGCGCCCCCGTTATTCGTTAAAACGTCGATTCACTCAAATGTCGCTGTTCGCTAAAACGTCATTCGCTCATGTGATATGGACCCGCCCTGAGCAAAGACTTGAAGACTGAAGTGGAGAAAAATAGGCAATAAATTCTGCTTACAGCGGAGCGCAGGCTCTGCTCACGCAATGTAGAGTGTGCTACCCGATGCAAAGGGAACAGACGACAAACTTAGTCCAAGCCTTGGATTGGATTGAATTGAGGGCACGACGCTAGGCTAAATCCAGTTAGAGCTACTAGATTTAGTAACAAATGGGAAAGCCGCAGACCCCAAGCCGAAAGTATCCGAAAGTGTTCATTTGGCGACCATGCTTCCATTCGGTTATTAACAAGGTGTGTGTGTGTGGTTAGTTTTCACCGTGTTTCTGGAAGTGGGGTCCTCACTGACGATGTCGGCGGCAAGAAAGGGCTCGTTTAATCCGGATTGGACGAACCCGAATATTTTGGAATATAAAAGTTGGATTAAGCCTGTGCAAAATGATCCTCACAGTGCTCAATGCTCAATACCTTGTGTTGTAATAGTCTTATATACTTAGCCGCCTCTGCAGTGGTCAGGGAATTTCACCGAAATATGTCAGGGAAAACCTGGAAAAGTCAGGGAATTTCAAAATAATAATTTGCTAGACACCCTGTTCATTCTCTAACGTCGAGGAACCCAACCCGCGCCGCGGCAGACCTACGTTCGTCGGCCACTGCGCCACATCACGCCGCGCCGAGAAGCGCCCGAACCAGATGGTGTTTACCACTGATCTCTATGACAATTCCTGGATCGCGCTTCCCCGCTTGTTCGCTGCAGGGCGAGTCAAGCCACCGGACTTCACTCGCTGGGATACGATTTGCGGTTTGCTAGCCTTTTGCTGCGGTTTTCCAGCGTGCTGTAGACACGTTTTCTACTTGTTCGTGGTCATTCGCCGAAGAAGTTTTTTGAAGACCCCGTGCACTCGTTGGGACTTGCCGTTGTGAACACGTAGAACATTTTACGAAAGCGCAGTACCGCAGGAAAAAGGCACAATTCGTCGAAAGCAAATTTCTCCGGTCTGGCGGCGTGTTCGAAGCTTCCTTGACACGCCGAAGTGCCGTGTCTCTGTGCCTTCGCACGCTTGGATACCGACCCAGAATCGACGCCGTGTGGGTGTGTTTTGCGAGTGCAATGTGCGTGAAGCCGTATCTAACGGTACAACTCGTCGAAAGCAAGTGTCGCCGCGGTCTCGCGGCGTGATCAAAGCTTCCTTGGCACGCCGAGTGCTGCATCTTTGTGCTTTCGCACGCTTGAATACCGATCAAGAATCGACGCCGCACCAAAGTTATGAACGTGTGTCCCGCGTGTGTCCGCTCACCGAACGGAGAAAGCGATGAGTTTCGTTCATCGGTCGCCGTCGCGGGAATCTTTATACTAATCGTGTGTGGATGTCCGATCTTATGTATATATATATATTTCTTTCTGTCTTTGGTTTATGATTATGGATATACTTCGGGATTGAAAACCGCGCAAAAGACGAAGGACCAGATGAAGAAGTAACACAGACGCAGCGCTGTATATGGATATACCCTTCACTCTTCCGGCTCTCCTTTTTTTTTCTTTCGTTTTTTTGTCTTTTTTTTTTATTTTCTTTTTCTTTCCCACTTCCCTAGATTTAAAAAAAAAAAAAAAAAGAATTTGCTCTTTTGTATTTTCTCCAAACAGAAAGAGCAAAGTAACCTCGTACTTTGGGAGAGGAGGAAAACGAAGCAGATTGTCCGCTGCCTTGCAGAAGATGGAGTGCATTTAGAAACATCGTGCAATTTTGCGGAATAGCGCATCTACTTGCAATTTTGTTTCAAAGGGATAGCTTGGCATGGAACCCTTGACGGACGTTGCACGTGTTGGCGTCGGTCGCACCGTAGCGAGGCCACGGGAGAGAGCAACGGAACGCAGCTTTAGGTTTGACGTCATAGCGCGCGCGACCAACGTTGCGCCGAGGGGAGGGAGCGGTGCGCTAGCACTCTCCTTCCTCTTGCCCCCTTCCGCTACGCAGGAACTGTGGAGTAGTGGGGTAGGAACTGCGTATTAGTGCCGTTGCATCTTCCCTGTACTTGATGGAATGTCAAGTCGGGCAATTGTTTTCTCTCAAGGTTTCTCAAATGTTTCAATGTGTGATGGAACTCAAACCTCTCTTTTTTTCTGCGTTTGTGGCAGTCACGTGAGCAAGACGACGACGTACGAAGACCCTCGCAAGGACTACGAGGAAGAGCCTCCCCCTTCTCCGCGCGAGGTCGAGCTGCTCCGAGACCCGCAGCTGGGGTTCGGCTTCGTTGCCGGAAGCGAGAAACCGGTCATCGTTCGCTTCGTGACCGAAGGTACGACCCGCACACACTCACGCACTCGCACGCCCGAAAGCGGGAGCTTCGAATAAACTACAGCAGACAGAATGCGCTTTCAAGCGAAAGTACCGACTTTTTCAACACAATAAGATCAGTGGAGGAAAAAAAAAAGATCGGTTATATTTTGACCTATCGATTAAACCGTCGTATGAGGATCGCAGTAAATGTTTACGTCTCTCGGCCTTCCTGGTCGTTTGCTTTATTTTTTTTTTTAAGTTTTTAGTTGTTGTTGGTTGAGTCTTTTCGAGGCGTCGTCTCGGCGTCCTCTCTCGCGCCTCTTTTGTTTTATTTTTTGTTTGCTCCAAACGCTGTTGGCGGCTGGCCAACTCTCCCACTGTGGCACGCGATCGAGGCTCGCGAGGCGACGCTCCAAGACCAGAGTTTGCTTCTCTAAGAATGCAATTCTGCCTTAGCACTCTGGTTTCAGAAGCAAAAGCTCATGATGGTCGACCAAGCTGTGTTATCTCAAGACTCAACAACTCCTTACTCGCTAAAAAGCAACAAAAAAAAAAATGATTAGGATTGATTGTTGTCCCCGCTTGCCGCTCACCCTCGCGGGCGAAGAACCAGAGGAGCGGGGACGGCGGCGGAGACGGTGCCTTGGTGACACTGTGTTGGTCGGCGTGCTCGTGTTTAAAGGGGGGGGGGGGGGGGGGGGGGGGGGGGGGGGGTTGCAACGATTTTACGATTAAAGGAATTTGCAGCTTGTCATTTTTACGTTTATCGTCTCCCGAGCGATAGAGAAAACATCACCTTCATTAAAAAATGTCACTATTCCGCTGCATAATCGCAAAGCAAAAGTCGAGCTTACTTACGATGGGCCAGCTGAACAAAGAAACCACGCAGAAAAAACACCATTCACACTGCTGGACTAGCAACTGTTTAATGCTCCTCTTTTCAGATAGAAGAGCATTAAACAGTTGCTAGTCCAGCAATGGGAATGGTGTTTTTTCTGCGTGGTTTCTTTTTTCAGCTGTCCCATCGTAAGAATGACCCAACTAGCTCAGCGTAGGCCCGTGACAAAAGTCGAGCTTTTTCCCCCTCCTGCAGCCGCGAGTGGCAGCCGAGGGAACTACAGCGAGAAGCTTACGTGACCTCGCTCGGCTCTAAGCTGCAGCATAATGCCCGCTAATGTACACAGAGAGAGGGGAGGAAGCATCCTCCGAGAGAGTACATAGGAAGCTACACGGCACCCCGAATTACGCTACGAGGGGGACCAGGTGTGACCTTGAAGACTGGGAGTGAGTTGAGGGGTGCCAGAAATGCCAATACTTATCTTTTTTTTTTTCTTTTTCACACAACTAAAACACGCAGGCAAAATCGTTTTTCTGTTCTTTACTTTAGAAGTGTCAGAGGGCAACTTCCACAAATGTTTGACTGAAGACCGGAAATCGTTGCACCCTTTAACGAAAAATGTGATTGCGTTAAAATATGAATATATTCCGCTTTGCAACTTTTAAAAGTCAACGTGCTAATTTTTTTAAGGGGGGGGGGGGGGGGGGGGGGAGTGCAACGATTTCTGTATTTCGGTCAAAAGTTTGTGGAGGTTGCCCTCTGACACTTCTGAAATTAAAAAAAAAACAAAAAACGATTTCGCCTGCATGTCGTAGTTGTTGCGTAAAAACAAAGATAAATATTGGCATTTCTGGCACCCCTCAACTCAATAACAGTCTTCAGGATCACACCTGGTCGCACTCCTAGTGACATGATTCGGGGTGCCGTGTAGCTTCCCGTGTACTCTCTCGAAGGATGCTTCCTCTCCCTCTCTCTGCTGACAGTAGCGGGCGTTATGCTGCAGCTTAGAGCCGAGCAAGGTTACGTAAGCTTCTCGCCATGGTTCCTTCGGCTGCCACTTGCGGCTGCAGGTGGAGGAAAAAGCTCGACATTTGCTTTGTGATTATGCAGCGGAATCGCAACATTTTTTAATGAAGGAGATGCTTTCTTTATCCTGCGGGACACGATAGACAACGTAAAAATGACGAGATGCAAATTCTTTTCATTTTAAAATCGTTGCACCCCCCCCCCCCTCCCTTTAACTTCTGTCAACATCTCCGTCATTTGTGATATGCCCCTGTCCTGACCGCTTCGTATTTGTGGCCAAATAAATTAATTTTAGCACACAAACCAGCGTGAGCGAACAGGCGCACGGGAAGTCGTGGAGGATCTATCCCCGTCTCTTCCGCCATCTTGGCGCTATGGTCCCACCATCTACGGAGTTGCGCGAATATGAACTTGTTATCGGGGCGCCCCGAATGAGCGCCGTGCAGCTCACTAAGAATTTTAGTGATAACCATTACCGTATTTACTCGCGTATAGGTCGACCTGTTTTTCAAAAATCGCCTCATCAAAACTGGGGGTCGACCAATACGCGAATCCCGGTATTATATTTTTCAACTTTTTTTTTTTTTCGGGGGTCCCGAAGTTAGGGGGTCGACCTATACGACGTATCGACCAATATGCGAGTAAATACGGTAGTTCGTAAAAGAAAAATGGCAACATCTGTCTGTCGGATGTTTATGCCAAATATGTGGTGAGATCTGTACTTTCCTCAAAAATAACCAGAAAAAAAAAAATTAATTTGAAATTTATGACAACTTCGTGCTCCCGGAATGCTCGTGGTTTATTAAAGAAAAATATTATTAAAATGTACATATTTGAGGTATTTCTTTAAAAAGTGAAAGTGGTTTCAGCTGCCGACTTTGGTGGAGCGTGCGAGTGAGTGGAAATTTCCACCTCAGGTGGACCAAGTGAACACAAGCTTCAACCCGGAGACCAGATTCTCGGAATCAACGGAGAGGATGTCAAGTGTGCTCCTCGGGAACATGTGATAGAGCTCGTCAAGTAAGCGCGCTCCTGATTGATTGACTTACTTTTGCCCTTTTAGTCTAGCACGGTAATTTACTCCCATTACGCTTAGTGTTCCCTTCCTACAGACAAACCCCGATATTTAACCCCCCGAGATGGTTTTATTAAAATCGAAGAAAACTGAGTAAAAAAAAAAAAAGAAAAAAAAGCTTCATTGAAGAAAATTTGTCTGCAGCTTTATTTTGCGTTTATCCTAAAAAGAGTCCATACCGTAGTCTCCATTCTTTGGGAACAATGCCTGTTCTTCCATTCCCTTTCTCAAAAAAGAAGGAACGGAACGTAGCACTTCCCTGAACAGAAGCTGTTGGCGAGAATTTTTTTTTTCTTTATAAAAATGTTGTGTGTATCTTTTTTTCTCTTTTGTGCAGGTCATGCAAGCAGTCTGTTAAACTGGTCGTTTGCCAGCCCCATGTGAATAATGTAAGTGATTACTCTGTCTTTTGAAACAAGCCACTAGCGTACGCTGAATCTAATTTACCCGACCACGCGCTTTGGATCCTTTGCTAGAATATTATTAAACGAGCGCCGATTATTTTTGTTTCTGGCCAAAACTGTAAGCCATCTTGGATGTTTCTTCTTATCACTTTTCTTTGCTTTAAAAAGAAATGCGGGTGTATATTGATCCCCCATTCAAACAGTCGTATATACAATAACGTTTTTTTTAACCCTGGAGGGTGGGGAAACAGGACAGGTTCTGTGCTTCCGTTTCTACACTCTCCGGGGTTAAAAATGTCAGTTCTTAAATTAAACAGCTTGTCCGCAACTTTGGATTGACTTCCTTAATGTACATTGGCGTCGTACGGGGAACACAGTGGATGTTGACGTCTAATCTCGGCCTTCCGTGCACGCACCGCCATGTCTTTTCAAAGCATTGCCACGTTTCCTCTTTTCGTACCGTTTTCTTTTTCTTGATGTTTTCGAAGCTTTTGGCGAAAAGCCTTGGCAGTCTCTCCAATCTCCTCATTTGTTTTAGGGGCGAAGCTTCTTAGGTTCTAGCCTTGTCCGTCCGGCGTCCGTGCTCACATCAATTGCCATCCCATCTGTCTTCTTAAAAAAAAAAAAAAATGTTTGCGCAGTCGACAGGATTCAAACCTGTGCGGGGAAACCCCAATGGATTTCTAGTCCATAGCACTCGGCCACGACTGCGGGACGAGTAGGGGGCTCTGAGATGTGGTAGTAACTCAAGAGCTGGGGATGTCATGGATGAAACGTTGCATGTAGCCGCTCAACGTCTACACAGGAGAGGGCGCTGCGGTGAAATGCGTATATAATCGCGTTAAACTTTGCATGCATTTGCTCAATGTTTATAGACGAGAGGGCACTGCGGTCAAATGCTAAAAAAATCAGTATCATCAGCATCACCAGAGCTTCGCCCTAATCAACATCATTCACCACGTGGAGATGCGGTCATTATTTTTTTTTCTTTTTCTTTTTACGCTGTTGGCAGCTGGCCAACTCCACTGTGCCATGCAAAGCTTCTGGTATCATTGACATAACTGCCAACAAAACGAGGATTATTTCCTGGTGATGAATCATTTATACCTTCACCGGCGTCAATTTCAACATTTTCAACCGTAAACATATTTTCTGAAAGAGCACAAGAAACTGATCCTAGAGGAGCGAATAAGTTTTCCAAAAATCTGTTTAAAATAATTTTAATCGTAGAAATACGATATCACCGAAATTAAACTGCAACTTTACTGGTTCACCACGATGTTGTGACGTCAGATATTGAATAAACATCAGCGAACGGCACCTTGAACCTCTTTCGCCCAGTGTCAGAAGCAGTCAGAAGGCCATCGCCATCAACCGTGGGAAATAATGGACAACGATTCAGCAAGCTCGTCTTAGTCAAGCAATGACCAGCAAATAAATGTTTTAAAATTTTCAGCACGAGATTCCAAACAATTCGCTTGCATCACCTCCAGACGCGGCCAACGCTACGAGCCGATTGATGCTACCAATCAGACTTAATTAAGCTGAAACGAAGTACAGGTACCACTTCCGAGCAGAATGGCATAGAAGGTTTTATTTGCTTGCCGGAAGTGAACTGCTCTCTAGCACCAATATCGCGCGCAGATCGTGGACAAAAACGTGGGAATTAGCTACGAAATCGCATGTCACGTCAACAAATACCGCAGATTGTGGATGCAGCATAATCGCATTTCACGATGCGAAACATAGTTACGGGAATCGATATCGCGCATGCAGATCGCGGACATAAACGCGGGAACCCGCTATTTAAGATTGTGCGGTTGATGCGACTCACGTCGGACATTGCGTGGCGTCCGACGGAATTTTTATGTTACAGGTATTTAGCCAGAAAAACGGAATGAGCGATCTCTTGGGGGAGGGCGTCCTTACGTAGTTTTAGAAAACAAAAAGAAAGTGATTTCCAAACTCCATTTTTAATATAATCGTAGCATGCTGCAGCGGTACCCAGGGCGACACTGACAAAACTATAATCTGAATAGATTACTCTTTGACCCTTAAATTAATTTGCTCGAACCGGTGGCGCCGGGCATGTTTGTCGGGAGAGAGGGAAATCTTGCGTGTGACACGTGATATGTGACACATGACAGAGTAGAAGCTTCAGTTTCCTTTTCGGAGGTTTCCGCTAGTTTTTCCAGGGTGTAAATTTTTTGCTCTAACTACCAATCTGAAAATCTCACAAAAAAAAAAAAAAAAAGTAGTGGTTAGTGAAAAACGCACATTAAAAAAAAAAAGATTAGCCTCAATTTCTTTTTAAAAAGTATCTATATATTCACCCCTCTTTAGCAAACCTTGTGGACGCAGTAGGCTATTATGTCGCTCACTGAACTTGGGATCTCAAAAATGTGACTGACTTTCAATTGAGTGTCTATAGCAAGTCTGTAGCATATGTGGCTCGTCCTCTGTTAAAACAATAAACGTTGCTTCTAGCACGAATTGAATGAATCTAGGGGAGCTCCACTAAAGAGTCTTGCTGGTCCATTGCCGGAAGAGCTTTCCAAATCCTTAGAAGCGCTATCACTGTACTACTACTACTACTACTACTACTACTACTACTACTACTACTACTACTACTACTACTACTACTACTACTACTACTACTACTACTACTACTACTACTACTACTACTACTACTACTACTACTACTACTACTACTACTACTACTACTACTACTACTACTACTACTACTACTACAACAACAACAACAACAACAACAACAACAACAACAACAACAACAACAACAACAACAACAACAACAACAACAACAACAACAACAACAACAACAACAACAACAACAACAACAACAACAACAACAACAACAACAACAACAACAACAACAACAACAACAACAACAACAACAACAACAACAACAACAACAACAACAACAACAACAACAACAACAACAACAACAACAACAACAACAACAACAACAACAACAACAACAACAACAACAACAACAACAACAACAACAACAACAACAACAACAACAACAACAACAACAACAACAACAACAACAACAACAACAACAACAACAACAACAACAACAACAACAACAACAACAACAACAACAACAACATAATAATAATAATAATAATAATAATAATAATAATAATAATAATTTATTATTCCTTGCCTCAGATCCAGTGAAGTCTTGATATGAGGATCATACATAAATATACAACATACACAACACAGATACAAAACCAATATGATTATGATAAGTAAAGCAAAGTGTCGAGTTCATTATTGTTTGCAAAGTTGTCTTCTGAGTTGCCTTTTTTGTAACTCGTGGTAAACTTGTTTGATATAGTACTATGTTTAATGCTTAAACGAAAGAGAGCTGAAGATGTTTTTTTTCAGTGTCTTTAAATCGATCTGTACAAAATAAAAAGGTGGTGAAATTATGCGATGGACATTGTTATGCAGACAACTCGGAAGTCGGCCCTACTGACAGCAGCAAAAAAGGCCAAGTTAAAGTCCAATCCATCCAGGGTTCGCTTTGCGGAAGGCGTGGTCATCAATGGATCCCCGCTGTACTGCGTAAGCCTACGTCCCTTTTGGCTCGTCGTTCCTAAAGCGTCTTCATTTCATTTATTTTTTTCCAATACATGAGGGGACCACGCAAGCAAATTCAGAATGACATTTTTATCCTTTCTGTTTTTCTGCTTGAGGTTCGTTGTGTTTCTTTCTGTTGTGCTCTTCTTTTGTTAGTTTGTTTTTACTTTTTGCTATAAACCAGCCATGCTTTTGGTACTTTTGAGCGATGATGAATGTTTCAGTGAGCTTTAATCATTGTTTGTTTTGTTTTTCTGGCTAATCAATCACTTCTGATCAGAGGGCCCTTTGTTACTGTGGGACAAAGTTTGCTACAGACTGGGAACTTTGACACGCGAGAAGTCAAATCTAATGAATAAGACTTCTAGTTTTTTTCTTGCCGTTTTGTTTGGTAATGTATTTACTTTGTACTGAGGCTTTTCTTTATGCAAGAAAGTTTTTTTCTAGGCAGCAGTTGTTTTGAGGCATTCATGTTTTACAGAGTGTGTGCTAGAAAATTCTGGGTGGCGTGTCACTGTTGTATTCATGCCTAGTATATAATTCTGTCTATTTTAAGGCGTCGGTTCTTTTTTGTAATAATTTATTCACCTGTAGAGAGGGAACATCTGTTTCTGCAGCTCAAAGCAATGTCCAACAAGCATTTGCCGATCAACAAACAAGTTCCCTATTACTCAAGTAAATGGACAAGTTGTCAATGCCTAATCAGTTATTTTTTGTGATGTAGTCATTATGGTTTAAGTAACAAAAATCAAATCCAAAAAAGCATACGGAATGTGAGCAATATTGCTGACTTTGTCCCATATTTTCACCCCGCTATACCGCTGTGAATGCTTTTGCTTCTCTTGGGCCAGCTTCCAATGACTGAAAGATGTATGAAAACTTTTAAAACTCCTTGTTTTAGATGCTTGCAGTCTAACCTCTTCTAAGTCAAAATAAAGAGGTGTCAACAAAGTCATTCTTCGGCATGCTTGTTCACCTTGTACTGCACACTCTTTTTCTCCCCAGCCATCTACTTTCGAGTCGTGTGTTCCTTTCCTGCCCAACGTTATGAAGGTTTTCCTTGAAAATGGACAGACAAAGTCTTTCAAGTATGACAGCTCCACCACGGTTCAGGTGAGTGCAGTGCAGTGTACCTTCAGATTTGCATACAGGTATTAAGCATTGACTGAGTGCCCATAAAGAGCATTAGCTTTAATAATAGTCCATAAAACAGTGTTAGTGCTTGTTACTGGAAGACAGATGCAACAAAATATACCAATATTTCTGCAAGCATCATTATTAGCCTTTTCACATAGTACATGAGACATTGAATTAGGTATTCCAACCAGTAGAATAATTTTATTTATGGTAGAGTTGGACATGTTTCTGACAGACCCCATTTCTGCATTTCTCCAAGTTCTTGAAGAAAAAGTTAGTACACCCTTTGTGAAGGAAAACCATTTTCACTTTGTGTTTCAATTTACACTGCAGGGATTGGCAAGAAAGCAAGGAACCTTACTCTCGAAAGCATTTACAACTAGGCATGCAATTTAGGCATGTGAGAATAATGGATTTTGACTTTGAAGCAAAGAGTTGTTTAGGCTGAACATTTTTTAATTGAATATCAAATAATTTCTTCAAACCTTTCACTACTGTAGACTTGAAAGGAAAATTCAAGTGAACTTGTGAAGGTTGTTCCTAGCCTTCCATTTGTCCACTACTAAGCTCAGTTAATTTTAGTATAACTACAGGGCGAGTCAAAAGGATCGATGTCCGTTTGAATGGAGGCATAAGTAGGTTTCTGAACGTATCTAGCTAAGGTTTTTCACAGAGGTGACTGAAGAATGTGCTGTAAAAATTTCACTGAACAACCTTACCTGAATTAGAAATGAAAGACTTGAAATCCCTACGTATGGCGGCCATGTGCGAACCAAATGCGTCTGATTGACGCAACAGCTGATGTCGGCAGCGCTCTCCGCGTCGGCAGTGAAGGCAGAGATACCGCATCTTTCGGAGTCAGCTGATGACACCACTGTTATCGATGGCTTGGAGGTTTTCCTTCTTGTTGAGGCGCCTCACCCAGCGTAGAATTGTAGGGGAGGCCGGAGGTCGCCGCCGAAACTCCGTCCAAAAATGTCGGCGGACCTTTCTTGTCCTTTGGCAGTCCTCTCCTCGTACCGCAACCTTCACTCAATCGTTAGTGAACTTACACCAAGAGATGCGGTAGCAACCAGAGAGTAACAGCCTTACGACAAGATCTACCTGAAATTAAGTGTCGAAAAAACAACAACAAGACAATGTATCTGTATTGTTGTTCTCATTCTATCTTAATTATTTTTTTTGTAGAAAAAACTAATTCTGTCCTAAAAGCTCGTGCAGGAAGAGAGCGGATCGTTTCTGGCTCGGAAACGTATTTGCTATCGCCGAGGTAGGGGGAAGCGCCCGTCGTGGCTGCCTGCCTACTGCCTGTATACAGGCTCTCTAACCGCCTGCTATCTTACATATGTTGCCATCTGTCGGTTGTTGTGCCAATCAGACGCCTTTCTTTAGCAGATGGCCACTGTAGGTTGGGATTTCAAGTTTTTCATTTCTAACTTTATGCTGACGTCACGCAACTTTGTTTAGTGAAAATTTGGGACCCTTAATGTGCGTCCTTCGGCCACCTCCGCACAAAATCTTAGCTCAATACATCCACAAACCGATTTATGCGATTCTTTCTAACAGCCATTGATCTACCTGTGGCATGTAAAAGTTAAATCTGTCGGAATTACCCCATTCAAAGAGATTTATCAATCCGCTAGCTAAATGCAAGCTTTTTGTTTTGTTTTATCAATTCCAAATTTGACAAAAGAAAAATCGCAGATGAGGAACGCGAGTTGTCAAGACATTACTGCGTAGCATATACTTTTGCATAATCGTGGCCGGTTAATTCCGTTGAGTACCTGTGCACCTGCTCACTGCAGGGCAGCAATACCCGTGAAGGCCACGAGCTCTGCGGGTAGTGCTTCCCCACAGTGCACAGGAGCTCGCTGAGAAGCACCCTCAACAGAGCTCACTTGCCACAATCAACATTTAGAAAAGTAGGAATATTGCAGTTCATCTCAAAGTGAATATTGGGTAGCTTATTATTCGAAACTAGTTCTATTGGAATATTTGCGCAACACAGATGTCTCCAGTGGCTCACGAGTTGAAGTTTCGTATGACCAGCTTATTAAATGTATCGGTCATCGTTTACAGGTTTGCTCACTCATTCTAATCAAAACTATGGTCAAATAAATCAAAGTGCCATTTAATTTAATTCAAACGCCATTCAATTTAAAGGGAAGCTGAAACACTTCTTTCAAAAAATGAGATAGAGGTTGATTCTAGCGTATAGTTTTATTTTGTGAATCTAAATATCACTTTTGTTTTCCCCGAATATGTAATTAAACTTTGTTCTCCCTTAAGCTGAGACTAGAAGCTCCGCCTTCAATGCGTGCTTTCTGCCCTTGCTAACACAAGTGTAAACGTGTGCAGAAGCCAGCGAGTTTGCGCTGATGGCGGAGCTTCTAGTCTGATCAGCTTAAGGGTGAACAAAGTATAAATGAGAGAACACGCAAAAAACCTCCGACCTGTCATTACTACGTCATAAGAGGATCTACGGCCTCCAAGCGCATGTCGCTCGTCTGGGCAGCGCGTGCTTTCACACTTTCACAGAAACAAAATCCAAAGTGCCTGAAGGTGAAATCTGTCAAAAACTTAATTAGATTTTTTCTCAAAGTTGGGCATCGTTTTAAGGCAGTTTTGGCTTTAACCAAATGGCTAATATATTTTTACAATGCAGGTAATGTTATGGACCATTTTATCAATCAAACTGTGATGTTCACGTTTTATAGTTATTTCCGTATAAAATAGCAAACTTGCTTACCTGGAGCAATTTTGCCTTCAATAACTCCAAATGAACCGTTCAAGGTAACGACATAAAACAAATATCAGTGCATAGCTATAATCATAAGCTCCAAACATTTTAAAAATCTTTAATTTTGAGATACGTATTTGAGGTTTATTTTCTTAGAAAAGCCATTTTTATTTTCTTCCAACTTTTTTACTATATATTCCATAAGGCACAGAAATACTAAATATAAGTTTTAGGTGTAATATTTCTTAATTTTTTTGTATTTTGGGGACAACCAGGTAAATAATCCAATTTATACCCGTCACGCAATCCTTGGTTCAACATGCCGACTTCACCGCAATGCTGCTGGCGGCCTCAGTAATAACGGATGATTTTGAAAGCTGCTTTACCGTGAGCTTTTTGCTGTTATATATGCTCATAGCCACTCCTGGAATATCTGAGGGGTGTTATGCAAGTCTAAAATAAACCGTTCATGTTAACAGTAGTGCCACCTGCAGTATGAGAGTGGGGTGAACCAGACATTATGTTTCAAGCTCTGGCAGGCAAGTGTTCTTACCGGATAAATCACTGGATCGGAGTGTGATTCAGTAAACTTGCATATACAGCCTATATTACGTACAATAGCCCAGTTTCTCAGATAAATGAAACCCTTTAAATATTATTGCAAAAGCCGTTATAGATAGAAAAAAATATTGATAAACAATTGTTTATTGCATTCCAATTTTGCCCTATTATTCTATGGCTAGAGCAAGCTTGTGGACATCTATGCTATGAAACACAAGCAGGAGCAAAGCTGGTAGGAGTGACGTAGAGCTTCCTATTGGCCTTAGAGTGGCAGCCGACTTTCCACCAACGTCCCACAGCTAGGTCAGAGCTCGGTTTCTGGCTGATCGTTGTCCGTACTGAAGACAGCATTGAGCCATTGATGTCGTGCGAATCGGAGCGTGGGTGATTGATCCTGAGCCGGCCATCTCGTCAACAGGATGTTCTCAACTCCCTCCAAGAGAAGCTCTCAGTCAAGTCCATGGAACATTTTGGTCTTGTCGTGGAGCACATCAAGTCAGTCCGGAGGAACAAGCTGACGCTCCTCGATCCAAAGGATTCCCTGGCAAAGGCAAGGCCTTGTACTACTCCATCGTGGCCCATCTTGACCTGTGTGTTACCCAGTGTTACCCACTCCATCGTAACCTATACTTGGTTCACCCTTAAGCTGAGACTGCAGCCAATGACACGAGCACGAGAGTATGAGGTTGCTGCTTTGAAGCATTCTTCCGTAGAATGAGCACTAGCGCTGGTAATGCACGTCTCAACGCCAGGAGCGCGGGCTAGCTTGCGCTTGTAGGTTTGGCTGCAGTCTCAGCTTGAGGGTGAACATCGGGGGTTCTCAAGCTTTTTAATCTCAAGGAACTCCCATCGGCCTTGGATGGCAGCTGAGGGTTCCCTCCTGATCTTGGCTTTGATGCAGGAAAGCAGTGCGGCAGCCCGCAGGTCTCGTAAACAGCGCTGCACATAAAGCATTTAGCACATAGTTACGCGTCAATGATTGGCTCAGATCTCCTTAAGAAGAGCTCAAAATGGAAAACCACTTTACTTACGGGCAAGTACAGTTGAGAAAATTTGAGAGCTTCAAGAACCACTGAAGGTACTCTGGGAAATGGCTGGTTTCCTAGGAACCCAGTTTGGGGCATTTAGTTATGACCTACTTCACTATACTTCACCATAAACTGCTTTGGGCCTGGCTACCTGTAGCAAGAGCGGTTTGTTGAACAGCTGGGACCATGGCGGCTTGGTTTCCATGCTTGTCGACATTGTTCTGCCGCAGTGTCTGACTCGTCCGTTCTGGTTGCAGATTGCCGCCCGACCTGGTGCTCATCATCTGCGGTGTTTGTTCCGAGTCGCCTTTGTGCCTCTAGATGCCTACGACCTGTTACAGAAGGATCCGGTGGCCTTTGAATACCTCTATGTCCAGGTGAGGTGTCTTGGGGGAAATGTGTGGTCATTGGCAGCGATGCTTTGTTCTATAGAGCAATTTCACATGACATGCATCCCGCTTAAACTCGCATGAGAACCCATAGTGATGAACTATTGCCCCGCTTTTTTATGTCTGAAACTGATGCTTTCTGGCTCACTCGAGTTCTTCTGCATTGTGATCGACCGTACCAACCGGACTAGTGGAGTGACATATTTTCTAGTTGCTTGTCATTACTGTCTATTGATTAGCGAAACACGTCTGGGGCATGGGCAGTGTGGGCAAGTGTGAGCACGGAGAACTGGAAGGCTGGAAAGCGGCACGCAGTTCGTTTTGCACTACTTTTTGGATAGTCTGTGGCTTGTTTGGAGGTGTCGCCAGTAATGCATAGTGGGCTGAAGTATGATTGTAGCTCCTTGTGGATGATGGTGCAGATCAGTTCTGGGAGGTTCGTGGTGCCGATCGTTTTGAGGGAAACCTCGAGGAGACACTCAAAAGCCACCTTTGTAATACGGGAGCTTGCATTTCTTCGTATGTTTTGTATTCTGATATTAGTTGCGGTTGCGGGAGTTTTTGGGGCTACAATTGAAAAGAGTTCCTAAGACAATCCTTTAAAAAGGTGTCAGATCTTGTCGCTCTCTTTCATCTGCTCATTGACTTGTCGACGAAAACTATGGACATCTTTGACATTGCTCGTAGATGACTCAGCTGGTGTTTGGTAGCAGCGAAACAGCTTGTCTTTGGTCTGTTGCTTGCGGCTCTCAGGTTTGCCAAATGCTTCCGAAAAAGCGGTCCTGAAACCATCCCAGGAGTTTGTCGTCCTCGTGGTTGTCAAACCACTGGAGCGCTGTGTTTTAGAAAAAACACGGTGTTCACCAGCTCATGGGAGTCGTCCCAGTGGTTCTGGATGCTGACGTGGTTGTATTAATTGCTTCAGCCGATTGTCGACATCGGAAGAGCCACTGGAAATTGGAGGGTCTTGCTGGCGGTGTTTGACACGGTTGTGCGGTGGGGGTGGGCGCTGATGAGATGTGCTGGCTTCCAAGTCCACAATGGTGGTGGTAGCTGTGCGTCCACTGCGAAGCTCCAGAACAGCATTGGGGATAAGAAGGAGCATAGAGGTAGGGGAACTGACTGACCTCCACCACTTCTGAGGTGGTTTAATTTTACAATGCACGATGAATGACTGTGTTGAGGGTGCTGCGGAGGTTGTTCATTCGAATTTCTAACCTTATGTTCTGGCTCGTCGTCTTCTGCTTCTCGTCCTTTTCTTCCTCGCAATATATATATACCGTATTTACTTGCACAATGAACGCACTCGCGTAACGAACGCACCCCCCAAGTGTGCTCTCAAAATTTCGACTTTTTTTTTTCACTCGCGTAATAAACGCACCCCCAACTCTGATGTCAAAATTTTGACCCCCTCCCCCCACGCGCGCGAAATGAATGCACTTTTCTATTCTGGTACAGCGAGGTCGCGAATGCATGGGCAGCGTGGGCGAACAAAACGCCTTGCAAAAGGCGTTAAAAAAATTCGAAAAGATCAAACGGAAGCAAGAAAAAGAACATGGAGAGGAGCTTTTTTTTTTTTTTTTTGCGCGGCGCAGTCTGGATTTCGGGTTCGCGCCGCCGCGCGCAAGGAGGTAAGAAAGAGAAGTGCTCTAAGCGAACGAAACAGCTTGCGAAAGGCGGCGAAAAGAAAAACAAACCACGGAACTAAGAAAAAACAAAAACAAAGAGGATCTTTTTTTTTTTTTCTTTTTTTGCACAGCGCAGTTTGGTTCCGGGGGGGGGGGGGGGGGGGGAGGGGGAGGGGGAGGCGGAGGGAGGGAGGGAGGGAGGAGAGGAGGGTCGCGCGCCGCCCGCAACGAGTAGAGTTGCTGTATAGGCTCCCTACGGGAGCCAGAGTTGCGCATTTGTTTTCCCCGCGCCGCCACGCCGCTATTCGCCGAGATCCATCACGTGAGGAGCAAAGCATCCGGTGGCGTGCAAGAAAGCCACCTTTACGGTCGCTCCGCCGACGTTTCTCTTGCCCCGGCGTATGTTTCCCTGCTTTCCTCCTCCTTTTCCTCCTCTCCTGTTTTCCGTGCGCGGCGGCGCGCGCGGCGCCGCTATTCGCCAAATTTAGTCACGTGAGGAGCAAAGCATCCAGCTCGTGCGGGAAAGCCGGCGCTACGGCCACGCGCCGAGGCTGAATGCGCAACTCTGTTACTGTAGGTAGCTATACAGGAACTCTAGCAAGGAGGTAAGAAAGAGGAGCGGAGAAGCCCTCTAAGCAAAGGAAACAGCTTGCGAAAGGCGGCAAAAAGAAAAAAAGCAACTCACAAAACTGAGGGGAAAAAAAAAAAAAAAAAGAAGAGCTTTTTTTTTTTTTTTTGCACAGCGCAGTTTGGTTACGGGGGGTCGCGCGCCGCGCGCAAGGAGATAAGAAAGATAAGCGGAGAGCCCTCGCCTAAGCAACGTAAGCAAACATGACAGCTTGCGAAAGGCGGAAAAAAACAACAACAAGGAAATAAAAGAAAAAAAAGGAGTTTTTTATTTTTTTTTTGCAGAGCTTAGTTTAGTTACGGGGTCGGGCGCCGCGCGCAAAGAGATAAGTTACTTCGATTTTTCAGGATAAAAGGTCGGTTCATTATGCGAGTAAATACGGACGCATAAATTTTACTTTGCGTAATGAACGCCCCCTCTAACTTTGCATCGATTTTTCGGGAAAAAAAGTGCGTTCATTCTGCGAGTAAATACGGTATATCTGAATGAGAGGTCAGTTTTTTTATTGTTGCCGAGGGACAGTCATTTGTAAGGATATAGTCACGTGACACTCTAGACTTGGAAAAACCAGCCCTAAAACAGATTCTGTGTTGGCACTGAAAGTCCGCTTTCTTTCAAATTTTTCTGAAAGTACATTCATCCTTGCTCCGGAGGAAGCTTTTGCAAACCTCACGTTCTGCCCTGCAGTGTTGCAACGACATGGTCCAAGAGAGGTTTGCACCCGAGCTCAAGTATGACGTTGCTCTCAAGCTGGCCGCCTTGCATATCCACCTGCATGCACTCACAAGCGGTATGCAGGGAAAGATCACCATCAAGGCTGTCGAGTGAGTGACCTGATCAGGGTAACCTGATCCTAACAACAGCAGGCACGCTTGAAACAAAATGTTGTCGTGGCTGCGCAGTAATTTCTCAACAAAGCAGCATATGTTCATCTCACTCCTAGAACTTGAGGAAATAGTTTGTCATTTTTTGAAGACATCCGTACTAAGAACTTGTTTTTAGAAAAACTTGGATTGAGCACGTGGGGAACTTAACACCTTAGTGCAGCTGTTAAGTTAATTCACCATATTTTGCATAGTCCGCATCCAGTGTATTGTCTGCAGGGGAAAACATCGGCTGAAAAAGAAAGATTTTCCTCGATAGTCCACACCTGGTGCATGGTCTGCACAAAAGATTTTTTATACAGAGCACACCTCGAAAAATGCCCTCCTTGCTGGCAAAAAGAAGCTTGCATCATTCACAAATCATCATTAAAATGCTCTGCCATTCACAAAATCCTTGACATCTCGTCACAGTGAAGTGCCTTCAAAAGACAAAACCTCATATAGTCCGCATAACTGTGCATAATCCTCATCGTATAAAATTTCAACTTTTATAAATGCGTTGCCCACGGACTACACTCCGGGAAATTCGGTAATCGTTTTACTGTTTTTGACCGCGGCACCGGAACCGGTTACGCAGGCGGGAGAGCGGCCTGAAGCGGTTTGTGCCCGCCTCGCTGCTGGAGACGATGAAGCGCAAGGAGCTCCGCAAGCTGCTCAGCCACTTCCTGAAGCAGAACCAGTCGCTGTGCGCCCCCGGCCAGAAGCAGCTGACGCCGCTGCAGGCCAAGCTGCACTACCTCAAGATTGTGGGCGAGCTGCCCAGCTACGGGGCAAAGTGCTTCTCCACATGCATGAAGGTGCCCCGGCCGATCCTTACATGCATTGCACTGTAGTCTGTCGCAGGTTAAAGCTCCTTCCACAAAGAAGTTTCCTTCTTTGCTAACTTGGAGTGAAGAGCTTATCCTTCTTCTTTTAACCTGCAAGAGACTATTAGAACAGCACCGATGCAGTGTTGTCTGGAACGTAACTTAGCACTAATGCAGTGCTGCACCAGCACTGCATCAGCAAGGTCACTGATATTTCCAGCACTGACTAATAGCACCGGGGTGATGCTGTGCCCTTAATTAGAAAAAAGAGAAAAAGTTACAACTTTTATCAGTTAGTTACCACTTATTTGTTGCATATTTTTTTTATCTGGAGATATGGGTTTGAATTTCAGAACCTGCAAAGCCTAAGATTCCTTTTAAAGGGACACTGACAGAGTATTTATGTTCGCCAAGGTTTTTATTTGTACGTGACTATGAGAGCCCAACTAACCCGGAACACGATTTGCGGCTCAAAATCTGTATCCTTTCCGCCCGAAAACCGGCGATCGAGAACTGCCCGGCTTGAGTCGCGCTCACTCTCTTCTCCCTGGTCACGTACCATTTTTTTATGGTTGAGACACAACCACCAAATATGATCACAGTCGTGGGTCATCAAAGGCACTCACTCAATATTAAAAATACAAGAGGAATATGATACCCATTTTTAGTGGCTACGAAAAAGCTGTAAATATGTTGATTGGAGGAAAAAACAGTTTCACTGTCACGTGACTTCTTGCCAACTCTCTCCTGTATATCTCTTCTTCCTCTCCAGTCCGGTTTTGGTTTGAAGATATTGATTGGATAGCCTTCTGACACCATAATGCCTGGTAAAAAATAAAGCAAACATTTTGGGGGGTGTGTCTTTAAGCAAAACATGGGGAGTTCATTCCTCACTTTCTTATCTGGAGTGTTTCGGGGATTCAGACTGGCTTGACTAACAGAAGCCTCTCCAGAGACACACCCATCACAGAGCAAATTAAGTCCAGGCTTGCTCCCCACGAAGGGGAGCGGTTTGTCGCATTTCAGATTTCTTTTGGAATTACCGTAATGGACATTAGGCTTTGGTTTGCGTGATTTATGGGTGAGGTTTACCCAGAGCAGCAACTGAAAAGATAAGCAATCAGAAGGCTCAGAGAAGCAAAAGAAGTTACATTTACATATATTTTCTCTGTTTAAGTCGTTAAAAATCAAATCATCTTTGCTAAAGTTGTACATCTTATCTTCCTTTCTATGCTTTCCTTTAATGAATGTCTATGAGGGGTCTTATTTATTTATTTCAAAATACTGCGACCTCGATGAGGTGATCGCAGGAGGGGAAAGAAAACATACATACACATTCAAGAATGCAAAGAATTAAAGATGTACGCACCCTACGGAACAAAAAAGATGTGAAAAATGCAATACCGTAAAATTCCGGGCAAGCGCCCCCTCAAACTTTGGAGATAATCGCAAAAAAATGAGGGATGGGTGCTTGTCCGGTCATCAATTTTGCGTATAAATGTACTGTGCGTATCTTCTCGGTTCTTACAAATTTGGTGATGGGCGCTTAATGTGGAATGGGCGGATGCGCGGTATTCTACGGTATATGCAATTTATTGCAATATATAAAAATGCAGTGCAATGGTCTGAGCTTCGAAGCCTAAAATAAATAAAGTTCGAGGTATGCTTAATTATCGTGTGCTGTGCGGCGGAGCTGAAAAAACAAAACAGTGCAGTAAAAAAAAAAAAAAAACTTCCTTCCGAGCAGTTTGTTTATCGTTTTTTCTTGTAATTTTGTATCAGAAGAAACAATATGCCTAGAAATTGGCTTAGTATAACCATAATGTTCGTTTGCATTAGCTGTAAATGGTTAAAATCTAATGGAACAAGTTACAAAGTTCATGAGACAATTGGAACCAAATGAAAGAGTACTCATGCATATGTAGCACATTTTAAAGTGGCCAAGAGATGAACAACAAGATTTAAATGGTGGTGCTAAAATGTTGGACAGTTACAGCTAGGCAAATAAATCGGTCGTTATTTGAAAATGGACAAAAGAGGCTGCTCAGATCTTGACAAAATGAAGCCATATTTAAGGAAATAGATAAATGCAGTTCCGCATTCTTGTTCTCACTTGGATGAATCCTTCCTGATTTCGATGAACACTAATCCGTTTCCTTTTCCCGCTTTCATGTCATGTCACTCCTTTGACTCATGGTAGGATTCCAACATGGAGACGGGAATCTTGATAAGCCCCAAATTCGGAATCAGCCAGATAAACAGTGCCCGTGGCGCCGTCCCAATCGTGAGTTTTCTTCATTCTCCTGTCGGGTTTTTGTGGTATCACCTTCAAACATATTTCTTGCTTCATTAGTGTGTTACGCAGGACTACACTGGGTTAAGTTGTCAACTCATCAGGCCACGTGAATCAACAACTTCACTGGGTGCTTTCAAAAAAAAAAAAAACTTTAATGTGCAGGTTTACCTGGATGAAGAGTCAAAAAAACAAGTTATTTCTTTACGCATATAAATTTTGTCTACAGAAACAGCTGAGGGCTACTGTTATTTTGATGAAATCATGGTAGTTGCAAGAAAAAAAAACGGGACAATTAATTTTCTCACCGTCTCAAACGAGGCTTTGTCGAAATCAACTCCACAGCGGTGCAAAAAGGCGGGCATTTTTGTCTGCGAGAAATAGACTTGCCGACAACAACTTCGAACTGGAAATTCGTGTTCGCCACAGACTTGCATTCCCTGGCAACCCTTGGGGTCTAGGAGCCAGTACGTGCTGTACACCAAATGCTAGATGGACCACACGAGGTAATGTTGAATCACTCTGGTTGTTGTTTCTTTCAGCAACCTGTAACCTTGGCCCAGATCGCGGAAGTGTCGTCCGTGACCATAACAAAAGACGACGACCTCTCGTACGCGGTTGAGATCAGCATAAAAGATCCTGACAAGGAGGTTTGTGTTATTGGTCACTTTTACTCTCGCCTTACATGTGCGCACGCTCCCATATTGTTTCGTCCCACATGCAAAAAGTCACGTTCAATGCCAAACTACATAATGACATGTTCTAAAGACCTATGAGGACATTCCGAAGATATTTCTAAGAAGTCTTCACAGGCTCTTCTAAAAAAGTTTTTTTTCACTGGCTAGGAAAGTAAAAATGCATTGACTGATATATCTAAAGTGAACACCATCGATTAAATATTTTTTATATTTATTTATTTTTATTTCATTCAGTCGATGATGTGGCTGTCAATTGAAAGCCTTAGCAGGAGTGGAAGTTTTTATAAGAAAATATAGATAATGAATACACACCCAAAATGCGATCAAACATATCTGATAAAGTGTGTTATCAAAACTGGGGAGTTACAAAAGCATGGCAGTATCATTTGACAGTGAATTCCAATCTTGAATTGACTGGGGGGAAAAACTAATATTTGGAAAACATTGCGTTTAAATCTTCATCGACCGATCTGGTCGATGAACAAGTTGATATATTGTTCAGTGCGAATATTAGACTTGCCGTGGATAAAGGAATACGGAAGTTTTAATCTATTAATTTTTCCCCTAGTTTCCAACCCTTCATATTTGCGCTTGTAAACAAGTGTGCCCCACAAGTCCTGTTTCTAAATGTACTGAATATGAACCTAATAGCTCGTTTTCGGACGCCTTCAAGTCTGCTTATCCCGTCTGCTGTGTGGAGAAACCAAACAGTTAGCGTAATCCAGCATTGGTCTGGTTAGTGCTCTATAAGCTATAGTCTTTGTCTCGGTATCTGCAAATTTAAGGGTATGCCTAAGCGTAAAACGCTTACATCTAGCCTTCTTCACAATTTGGTCGACATGCTGATTCCAAGTAACATTTTTTCTTTTTTAAATGCAATGCCGAGGTGCTATTTATAGTGGTCTAAAGAAAGCGATGCCATTTCCTGTTCAATCGATTCCAACCTTGCATGTGTGTCTAGTGTGTGCTTGTTAAAAGTGCTGTTCAGATAAAAAAAATCTAAGGATGCCACCGCTGAAATGGCGAGTTTACAAAAAGACGCACAAGGTCCCTTCTCCAGGAAATCTCATATGTGCTGTTGAGAGTCTTAGCTACTTTACATTGCTTTTTTTGCCTAAAAACAAGCATTCCCCTCCGCCCCCCCCCCCCCCCCCTCCCCCGGTGCTATGCTATTTCAGAAGTTGTTTCTTAGTTTATTGTCTACACCACTTTGTGTGAGGATTGCTAAACATCTTGTGTGTAAACTTTCTAGAAAAGTAGATAGAACTCAATTGACCTAAATTGGAGTTGTGTTCATTTTATTCTATTTATTTATTACTGAAAACCTTGGAGTGGTCCAAGCGGGAAGGGCTGTAAATATAAGAAAATTAAGAAAAAACAGTAATATGGCATTAGAAACAATTCAGCAATCCAGAGTATACAAAAAAATAAATGAAAGCAAGCAAAATTTTGAAGAAATACAAGTACAAACGCACCATTACTACAATCCTAAATAGATTACAGGACTGAAACACACATAGAAAAAGATAATAACACTTCTAGAGTAAATTTTCAAATGACGATGCACAATTGATGATATCGCATTGCATGGGAGAGAATTCCATTCGTTGAATGTGCGAGGAAAAAGGAAAATTTCAACAGAATAGTATGAGCGAAGTATAGTGTTAAAGAATGTTGATGGCATCTAGTATGTCTTGTTGTGAAAGGTCTGTGATGTTTGGTTATAAAATTAATGCAAAAATTTGAGAGGAGATATCCTATGACGATGTTCCAGGGTTGGTATATTGTTTGTTTTCATGAGGGTCGAAATTGACTGTCAATTAACCCTATGGCACGTCTGTGAATGTTTTCTAGTTTCACAATTAGTTTTTGTGTGAGGGTCCCAGAGGATGGTGCAATATTCTAGCTTTCTGTCGAACAAGCTAATTGTAGGCTAATAATCTTACACCCGGGGTTGATAGTTTTATTTTGCGTCTTACCGATCCTAGTTTTTTGAAGGCTGATGAGTTTTTTTTATGGGTCGACCAGTTCAAGATTTTTTTTGATGGTTGATGGATCCAAGGTATTTGTATTCGTGAACCTGTGAAACAGGAGTGTTCCTTGGCTTATATTGAAAACTGAGCTGTCTTCTTTTTTTTTTTGTTGGTGATTTGGAGACAAACTGTTTTTTCAATATTTAATGTTATAGAAATCTATGAGATTTTTATGAGATCGCCAATAAACAAAAATGTATCTATTTGTACCTTGTTTGGAAGCTAGTATAAGTGATGATAGTGGTTCACTACCTTCTGATAAAGTAGATCATGGTAGTGGTACATTAACAAGCTGTTCTGTCAGAACATGATGAACGTAAATTATTTCTATAGGCAGTTTATGACCCATACCCAAGTTCTCACATGTGTTCTAAATGTAAGCGCAAAATCAATTATATATATTGTTTAGTCGCAGTGCAGGAAGATACGCAGTAGGAACCTCCGCAACAAATTCATTTGTGGCACATCTTTGGTGCACCTCAAAGGCCTGTTCCAGCGTTACAACCATACTCCATTTTTCTTTCACTATGTCTCCGCCATAGCAGTCCCCATTAATCGAAGGTCCCACTGCAGTTAATTCGGCGTAATCTTGCGAGCATTGTCTAATGTGGGAACCCGTCACAGGTGCACGTAAAATATCCAAGGATGGTTTTGTAATGTAGATTACCTCGGTACGATCTCCTTTTGTGCAGAGTCTAAAGTTTGGCTTGGAGGATCGGGAAACTGCAGAATTGGTCTTCATCCTCAAAGGCTACCACAAGCTGCTAGCCTCACGAGATCTGCCAATTCACTGGGAAACCGACGACCCTTGGAAAGTTGAGACCTGTAAGTTTGGGACTCTCTTGGTTGATGAACGACTTCAGCATGCTGATGCTGATACTTATTAAGCGAGAGCCTAAGAAATGAAGGGAATCTGATTATTGCTCTGCAACCAATGAAACTGCGGCGTTGATAACGAAGAATGAATCGCAAGCGTGACCGCTCTGCATGTCTTAAAAAGCTGTCAGTGACTACGTCGGTGACTATTATCAAACTTCTCTCAGCCTTTCGAAGCAGCTGCGGGGCGCTTTTTGTTCTGGGTTTTTGGTATGTTTTATGAATGTTTGTATCTTCTATTGTAATTTTTTCTGCGTGTTGGAACATTAACCGTTTGTTGTTTGATGGTGGTTAGCAGGATTTGTAAAGTCTGCAGTGAAATTGTAGATACAGAGGTAGTAACTTGAATTGAGCTCTTCGTGAATTTCATATATTAATAAAAAAGGAGCGAAAGTTTTTACTTAAAACAAATTGTAGAAGACAAATGTATTCCACACATCACTGTATAGAGGAAGGTTTAATTATTGAAGTTGTATGGTCCTTGGGGTTCATTTCTTGCAACGCACGTATCAATTGGTCCCAAGTTATCAAATTCAGAGCTTCAACAATCCAGTGTTTCATACTTTGAAGAGTAGCAGCTAGCGGTTGTATGGTCCTTGGGGTTCATTTCTTGCAACGCACGTATCAATTGGTCCCAAGTTATCAAATTCAGAGCTTCAACAATCCAGTGTTTCATACTTTGAAGAGTAGCAGCTAGCGGTGGGTGGACTTTTAAGGTTTTTGAACGTTCCTCTATCCAGTGGTATGTGTCTTTTACAGTTTGTTTAAAATAAAAATATGAAATGAGCTCTTTTGTTTTCAGGTTGGCTTGTAATTTCTGGAAAACTGTGTCAGTTAAATGCCGTCTATACTGGGAGAGTTCTGCATTCTTTTGATCATGCCGACAATCTAGCAACCAGGATCTGGCACCCAATGTTTCCCCTGCCATACTGTACTGGCCACCCCATGTTTGGGGTGGCCATGAATACAAGCAAACCTCATTGCAACATGAATAGAACAAACCTTACTGCAACATTCTCGACCAAATTGGTGCTAAAAAATTTTTTTTTTTATTAGCCACCCCATGTTTGCAGTGACGTGTCAATGCACTGAGATGTTAATGTAAGTGCCTCAGTCCACACAATAATTTGCTCACACCTCCTTATCTGCAACTATCTCCAAAGGTATTACTCTCTTTCGCTCCCTTTTCTTGTCTGGAAAATTACTTTGCTGTATTCCCACGACCGCCACAATTCAACACCGCGGAAAGCATTTGCTATGCAGGAACTGCGAACCTGTGCTCTAAATCGCCTGACCTTTTCTGCTTAGTATATTTTTGTTTGAAAACAAACAGAAAATGCTTATTTGTAAGTTTTCATATTGGAGATGGATAAAAAGTGAGCAGTCTTTGATTGCATGCAGTGATCAATTACAGGCATAGCAAAATACCGATGAAGGAGAATTGTTTTCATAACGCTACTCGTAGCCACGAATTTAAGTGGGCTTGCTCAGAGTCGAATGGCGAAACGAATCTTCATCTTGCGTTGCCGTGAGGTCAGCTTATTCTAGCTAGATTTAGCGGGTCATAAGCTCCACCAATCTACCAAACTCTCCGGGTATAAATGGCTCTGGCTTTAACATGCCCTGCGTAGCTTTATAGCTGTCCGTGAGTTTGGAAAGCAGTTTATTCAGGGGCAAGCGCTTCAAAAGGTTTGAGAGCAATGGCTGGCTTTTGGTTTCTAGCTCCCTGCTTCCACGGCAGTCACATAGTCTGCCCCACCCCCTGGAGCTATGCGCCTTCGGCGGATGACCAAGACGGCCCCATTGTGAAGAGAGTTGACCTGGCTGTGCCGCCGCCTGCTTATGTTCCTTGCGAGGTAAGTGATGCATATGCTTACTGCACATTCTGCATGCTCATCACACCTAATGAAAACGTGACATAATGCGGTGCAGTGCGTTCTGAGACATGTATTCTGGGCACTGCTCTATATCTAATGAAGAGCATTCAGCCGTATTTTGGGTTTCAGTAAATAAATAATGTGATGGGTAAAAAAAAAAAAAAAAAAATGTGGAACTAAAACTGACCCACAGGTCAGTTTGGTCACAAAGAAGACTCTTAACCACAAACTGCTCACCGCCGTCACTTGGTGCTTTGGATGCCTTCGAAAACTTCCCCGCATCGCCCTCCCCTGTCTGGACCCCTCTGCCTCAAAATGGGACTGAATCGGCCGCTCTGTCTCGTGCGTTTTCACGCCAACAGCAGCCCGACATCATCACCTGTGTGCGGGGCTTCTGTTCTAGGGTTTCTGCATCGCTTGGTGTAGTGTGGGGTCTGGATGAGGCGTGGGGGTTGTCGCCGACTTCCAGCTGGGATTCCTGTTTGAACAGGACGCAAGTACCGCAAGTGGCGATGCATGGCACCCGCACTTGACTGCTTAGATTGATTGTGCTTTGCAGTCTGCTGCCCTGGGTGGCGCTGGGAATCTGGCGTTAATGCTTATCACAGTGCGTGTCGTCCCGGCCCTTCCTTCCACTTTCCTCCTGTATATTTCTTCATCACATATTGAGTTTTACTTTATTCCTTTGCTCTAGCTGGCTGGCTAGCAGATGCTCCTGCGTATGGCCCTTGCCTTTCTTCCTAGCCTTGTGAGCCGCGCAGTGCACCTTGCTTTACACATAAAGATTATTATTGTTATTATTATTGTTAAAATAGAAACATTCTCTGCCATTTTGATGAAGGAAAAAACAATAAAGCTTTCTAATACACAAGGTGAAGGCTAGCTGTTTACACATATCTTTGTGTAGTTACTGCACCAAAAACTGACCAATGGCTGCTGTTCAGGCACATAGCCAGGATTTTGTTTCGGGGGGGGGGGGGGGGGGAGAGGAGAGGAGGCCCCAGCAAGATGGAAGATTTCAGGGGGGGCCCAGGCCCCATGGGCCGCCCCCCTTGCTACGTGCCTGCTGCTGTTACAATTATTCTTTTTGGATTGGAAGGGAGACTCCCGATTGCCTGCGGCTACCCTACATGACACCGGTGTTTGCTGGCAGAATTGTAGCAGACACTTTTGTGCACCATAAAGCAGGGTGCACAAGACGGGCACTCATCCGTCGTACACCTTCTTTTGTTTGTTTTTTGTGCGCTCTGTTACGTAATACGTATGAATTAGTACCAAACTAGTCCACCTTTCTAGACTTCTTTGCGTGCTTGCAGAACAAACCTCATTGCAACATTTTAGACCGAATTGGTGCTAAAAAGTGTGATGACATGGCAACTTGTCCCGTTTTGTGCAGCTGCCGGATCGTGGCATGTCGCGGAGCAGCTCACGAGAGCAGTGTTCGCTTACCTCGCTGACCAACTCGGTGGACCACAACATGAACGAGACAAGCCTGCTCCAGCCGCTCAGCCCGAGCAGGGTGCCCCGGTCCTCGGCGCTGGGGAGCCTCAAGATGGAGACCTCTTTCGAGCCGAGGTCGCCCAATGGACATGGCTTCCCCTCGGACTCGGCATCGTCGACAGCAGACGAATCCGAGGAGCGGTTGGTCAAGTTTGACATCATGGACGATGACGACGACGACGACGACGAAGAACCCATTCTACTCGAGGTCAAAAACGAGGAGGTCTGTTTGTTTTCGCTTACTGTTGTTTATGTGTTTCCCCACTTGGCTTAAGTCCAAACACAGCCAATGCTTCCAGACGATGGGACTAATCAAAGAGCCTCAAAAGCGAAAGCAGAAACATGACGAACACCATGTTGTTGACATTGTTTGATGTTCCCTCAGCTGGTAGCATCTGGACCTAAGCGAAACAAAGTACACCTAAAACTTGTTTTTCAAGACACTGCATGCTTCTAGTGAATGCTTTGGTGAAAATGAAATGAACTGAGTCAGGTTTACGAGAACTTGTTGTAAAGTCGTCGTGCCTTCTTCATGACAAATTGTGGCTGTAGCCAAAATGTAATTACTACGATCGGAAGGTTTTTTCTTTTTTCACCTGCCCGCGCGTGTTTGTTGCCTTCTGTCGTGCATTGGTGCATGCTTGGCGCTCACAAGACACCGCAGCTGGGAAGCTTACGCTGGAGGTGCAACTGAAGGACCTTCCTGCCATTCTTGTCCTGTCAGGGACAAGAATGGCAGGTGAATGATGACGGTGAATGATGCAAAGTGCTATAGAAGAACGGCTGGCATCGTGACAGCGATAGTGCTACGCACGCATTCCTCTAGGCTTTCCTATCCACCCAATCATTTTTGTACTAGCCAAGTTTTTGAAGTAGTGGTTGCACAGAGTTCTACAATGAAGCTCGGGGCCATTGCGATCAGCTCACGCATCCTCGAACTGTTGTAATGTGGCGCTAATGGTCCTTCCGCAGGTCCTGCGGCGAGTGTCGGAGATGCGGCGCATGGTGGCCGACGCGGAGCACTACCTCTCGGATGGCAGGCCGCGACCGTCCGCCGCCGACATGCACAGCGAGTCGACGAGTAGCGACGAGCGCGAGATGGACTGCAGCCTGGAACCCAGGGGCACCATCAAAGCGGCCGACTCGCTGCTCCTCCTCACCCAGCTGGACGACGTGTCGGAGGCCGTCAACCAGGTGGCGGTGCCCGACGAGGTCTCCCCTTCCGAGTCGGACACGGACAGCTTCGGCACTCCCAACCGGAGCCCGCTGCACCGGACTTCGCGGCTCACCGGCGCCGCCGACCCGGAGGCGCCGCCTGCGAGGACGCGCTCGGGCTCCAGCTTCGGGCTGCACAGCCCGGACATGCTCCCGGGAATCGGGTCCAGCGACAGGGACCTGCTGGAGCTGCTGAAGCAGCTGCAGTCCAACCCGGAGATCCAGCTCCCGTTTGCGGAGGGCACGCTGTACTTGGACCCAGACATCATCGACCTGACGATGATCCCGCCGCCCATGACACCGGACGTGGAGCTCTGCGACGCGTCGCCGGGGACGCTGGACCTTCCGCCGACACCCTTTTCGGACAAGGGGGTGCCCCGGTCGGGCACCGGGGCGACCGAGCTGGACGGAGGTGAGTGACACTGGACACCATGCACTTTGAACGAGGTATCTATTAATATTATGCGCATTACTGCCAAGAGTTGGCAGGGCACTTCGGTGTATCCAAGAGCTGAAATGACAAGGATACTTGTCACAGCGACGTCGCTCTGGTTGCTTATTGTAGCACCTAAAAGTGACCCATCTCCAACGGAGGAAACATCGATAATAAAAGGCGGTGGGTTTACTTCAGCGCCCACAATACTAGAATTGAAACTCTTTATGCACATTGGAAGACGACACCACAAACTTCGTGCTACCTTAAAACCAGAACTCTGTTTTCTCACGTTGGCATTTATTTTCCCCGGCTTCTTTGCAAGTTGTTAGTAAGGGATTGTGCAAAATATGCGCTTCAAAGCATATTCATATCGTAGCGTCTGACTACATTTGACTGTTGTGGGGGTCTATGTGAAGGCACAGCCACGAGTTAGGACTGGTCCAGGCATTTGCCTTTGAGTATAACGTACCGATAGAAATACTTACGACTACTTACGATTAGGGCTATGTTCCAGATCTTGCCCGAGTAACCCGTCTCCTACGTCAGCGGGTAATACCACGTGACATCGCGAGCAAACTGTCCGCGACTCGATTTCGGAACGGCGGGGTAATCACTTGGATACTGAGCGGATTGGCTTCGTCTTGGACTGTGGCAAAAAGAAAACAGCAGCGATGGTGGAAGATAGCAGACACTTCCTTGATCATAGAGAAGCACTTCAAGAGACTATATTATTAACCACTTTGAAGTTTTTCTTCGAGAGTGAGGACACAGTATTTCTTGAGGTGGCTCCACTACCGTAAAATACTGGGCAAGCGCCCACTAAAAATTTAAAGATAATCGCGAAAAAATGGGGATGGGCGCTTGTCCGATCATCACATTTACATATAAATGTACTGTGCACATTTTTTCATATCTTAGAATTTTATATATGGGCGCTTAATGTGGAATGGGCGGATGCGCGGTATTGTACGGTAGCTCCTTTTGTTCACCTTCCTTTTGGGCTGTATATTGAGATCAAAATTAGTTATTCCTTTCAGTTAAACAAAATTTGTTTTTATTAATCAGCGCGATCGTTGCAAGTCTAGTCCCGATGCCATAAACACATAGGTTCCACGCATCATGATTTGCACTGATTACGCTTTGAGCAAGTTTCTTCCACACGGTGTAGCGCGGTAGAGCGCAGGGGGCTTTCTTTACAGTGATATGTAACTTATGTTCGCTTTGACGCGAATATGATTACAAAATCACAGAGAGAACTTCCAAGCTGCTATAGGCAATTGATTGGGGAGGGAAACAAGGTGGTGTTGTTGACTGATCATATACACTCCGTGCGACGCGACTGGCGCGCCGCCGCGCGGCCGGTACCGAAGGTAGGCAGCGAGAACCCCAGAGAAAACGAAACCGAAACCACGCCGCGTACTTTGGTACGCATTGAAGTCGGAGTGGTGCGGTAGCGCTGGGTTCACAGCATGAAGCTGTGCTCCGTCATTAAGTGCTTCAATAGTTATGCGTCGTATCTCGTGAAGACAAATTTTCACAGTTTTTCACCTCGCCGATGTTTTGTGGGACAGCGACAACGATGGAGCCGTGCCGTACGACGTGAGAAATTTGGTCTCGCGATCATGTCTGCCACTGTGTCGGCACGGCTGACATATTCTACACTGCCGCTTTGCGCTCTGCGTTTGTTTTCGTACCAGTAACGCCTACACGTGTCAGCGCCGATGGGACGAACCCACACTCGAAGGTATGAAGTGCCAATTTCGTTGGAGGAATGCCCTCCAAAGAAGTTTCGTCCCCATCGTACGTGTCGATGATATTTCCGGACAAGTATGGCACGCAATCTGTACTTCATGAAGAAAGATTCGAAAGGTACAAAAAGTGACAAATATAAATCTAAAAAAAACAACAATGAAACTCGGAATCACTGGAGAATCGACGTTTGAGTATGAAAGTTTATGTGGTGTGCTTTCTTTCTGGACCAGCCTCCTTTTGGATGTGGAAACGCTGATACCCCAAGTTCTATAGACAACATTTTTTTTCTTCTCGGCTTTAGAGCCACCTATCGCAAAGTGGTTCGAACTGGAATTACCGTCCACTGGTCCCTTCCTACCTGTAAAGTGTGCATTATCTGACAGCCTTTGACGGTCAAAGCCAGTTCCCATTTAGTTACGCCGCCCAAACTAAATTTCCCCCTGGTTTCGCTATGCCAACTCTTTTTGTTATAATAAGTGTTGTGCCAAGTGACGGTCATGTCAAAGTACCTGTGCGCCGAAAATCAGCACCTTGCACAACAGGTTAGTACACAACAGCTGACCGCAAAAGCCCTTGGCGGCAAAACCGTGTGTTGGCCGACAACTTTGTTTTCTCAGCTTTGGAACCACCTTTCGTAAAGTTGTTTCGATTGGAAGTACAGTTCACTAGTCCCTTCCTACCTCTAAAGTCTCCACCTCCCTCGACCAGTGGTATTCTCTTGACAGCCTTTTCATGATCAAAACCGGTTCCCTTTGAGTTACGCCGCCCAAACCAAATTTTCACCTGGTTTCCCTATGCCACCTTTTTTTTTTTGTATAATAAGTGCTGTGTCATGTTACTGTCAAGTCCAAGCGCCTGTGTGCCCAAATCTGCACTTTGCACAGCCCGCTATAACACAACATTTAGGGTAAAATATTGGATATCCCGTACAGCTTTATTTCTTTATTTGTTAGAAACCTAACTTTCACACCTGCTGTCTTAAAGAAACTTGGCACTCTTCGTGCACAAACTTAGTGAACATCTCACTCGCCTCCAAATATCATCTTTGCAGCAGTCCTAGGTTTACAGCGACGAGCGAAATAAATTTCCCACTCAGAGCAATTAAGGTGGCGGCCGTCTTTGTTTTTCAGAAAATTACTCCAACTCCTTTTTTGGCCGCAACTAGAGAAATTACCCCTAATTACGACTCAAACTCAATATATAAGAAGTGGAGAACAGCTAAATGCCCTTCTTAGGTCTGCCCCAGCACTCATGCAACGTCACCCTCAACGTATCGGCTCAAAAAGCAAAAGTTTCGCCCGTGTGCGCTTCCGCCGCCAAAGCGTAGCATGCGAAAAGGCGCCGCAGGCTGCTGAACGCGCCTCGCAGTCGAACGCCAGCTCCTCCGCTAGCGGCGCTGCGCGCATTTTTCAAAGCGCCCCCTATAGTTCCCGCACGGAGTGTATACATGAAACCTTTGAAGCCTTCACTGCTTTACGAGCGTTATCCTCTCATTGCATGCACGTACACTCTGGAAAAAGAAGTACTTCCACATCATCTACTGCGTTTGAACATTTTCAGCCTTCAACGTAAGAATATGGAGTTCCCCCCAATGCCGAGGATGAGGATGCGGAGAGGCTTTTGTTTACGCTCGCACTCTGATAATAACAACAGGTATAACTTCCTGGGGAAGGTGCACGGTCTAGATGTGGTGCAGTCAGTCTTGGGTAGTAACGCGTTACTAGTAATGCGTTACTATAATGTTTTTACTTTTTTGGTAACTTGTAACTGTAACGAGTTACTTTTTTAAAATGTAACTTGTAACTGGAGTTCTATTACTTTTTTGTGAGGTAACGATAAAAGTAACGACGTTACTTTTGTCGTTACTTTCCAGTGTTTTATGAATAATATATCACTGAACGAGGTACAATTTAAATATTCCTTGCACTTTTCAAATCGTTTATTCCGACATTTCGAGTGTCAAGTTGGGCTTGCACGAACTTGTGAATACGTTCTTTCTCACGAGTCACGACCCGAATATAGCCACGTGTAGATTTCATGAAAAAAAAATCTAGTTATCTTTACGCACGCGCTTGTACTTTGTGACTGAGCACTTACATCTTAGTGTCTTGAAGCACTATCTATGTTGTGGTTTTTATTTTTTCTGTGAAAACGCTTTTTAATCGGGTGAATCAACCGTGAAACAACAATACATGCAGAGGGCACTGCGCATGTTTCGTATTCTGATTTGTGCCACCGCTCTGGCGTGGAAAATTTCAAACACTAATTTCGAGAAGCAACTTCTGCTAAGTTACAATATGAAGTAAAAAACATACTTTTGGTGAAAGGCGTATTCTAGTTTTTCTAAATTTTTTTTTTTGTTTAGGAAAGTAACTGAAAAGTAACGTTGTTACTCTTTAAAAGTAACTGTAACGAGTTACTCTTTTGTTGCGGTAACTGTAACGGTAACTTCGCTACTTTTTTCTGAAAGTAACTGTAACTGTAACGAATTACTTTTTAAAAGTAACTTACCCAAGACTGGGTGCACTCAATTCCTGCTTTGAAAACAGCAAATCGCAATAACCACACATAAATGGCTGCCTCATTCTTCGTCATTTCGATTTTCTGCCACCAAAGTCAATGGAGCAAACGAGTTTTGATGGTTGTTGGTTCAGAAAGCAGACAACGAACAGATCACGTGATATATTTACTCGATTTGATTCGACATTACCCCCTGATAGGGGAGGGTAACGCAAGTAATTACTTAGAAGTAAACAACCCACTTCTGGAACGTGAGTTCCGACATCATCGAGTAAGCGCGAGTAAGTTTTGAAATGCCATGGTATGAAAACTTTACTCCGGAGTTGGATTGAGTTAATTTTGAAACACAGCCAAGATGTTTGCTATATGGCAACTAAAATATGCACAACGTATTGTAGCAAGGAGTCGTGACACAGTTGGTATAAACTAATACAAATATAGTATGGTTCACACATTTGCATTTGTGTGCTTTCTTGTAATACATTGGCACATTGGTGCCATCTATATTGAGTGGCTCAGGGACAAATTGGGCCTATGTAGTATATATTTTCATAATTTTTCATGCATCATAATTTCACCGTGGAATAGCCCTCAACTTTTTCTCCCAGATTTGATCTCGAAACTACTGCAAAGCCTTCTGTCTCACACAGATTGTTAGAGGACTACCTGATAGATGGGTGGAGCAGTTAGAAGGGAACGCACACTCCATACTATGTACGAACCAGCCTTTTCTGAACCAGGACAATCGGACAACAGTGCTTGGCAGCGGATGGCAACTTGCCGTTCACCTGGATGCCTCGCAATGTAGTCAAGTGGCTGGTTCATTCGGCCCCATTTTCTTACACTATATTACACTACAAAAGTTTGCTTATGCACAAGTTGCCGGGACATCTGTGCTTTTCATGCTAAGTGCGGCTACCAGTTCAAGGAGATAGCCTGGCACGAGACATTTGAGACAGGACGGTGACTTATACATAACATAACAAAACAGTGCTGCGTAAACCAGCATTGGTTGCCATAGCAACTTGCCTTCTTACCTCGACGTAAGGCCTTCGAACGCAAGCAAAGCAAACACTAACACGAAGTGATTCTTTTGCAGGCCACTCCATGGTGCCGCCCCCCTGCTCCATTGCAGACTCTGCGCGCGTCGTGGCCGAACTCGACGACCTCTGCGACGCCCTGACGGAGATGCGAGCCTCTGGGGACGAGCTGGGCTGCCACGCGCTCTTCCAGCAGCTCGGCTGCGAGGACCTCGAAACTTTCATTGCGAGCGTCACCATCCCCCCACCCCCGCTGCCCGGTTCCGGCCCGAGCGACGACGGCGACTCCGGCGTGACGGACGACGACATCGCAGCCTACATCATCCCTCCGCCGCCCCCGAGCTGCGAGGAAAGCACGCAAGCACAGAACCAGGTGCTTGCGAGGTTTGAGCGCGCCTCGGAGGACATGCGGCGCATGATGATGCGCGAGGACGGGCAAGGTACGTGTCCGTTTCTTGGGCTCTGTTGTCTGGCTCGAGCTTTTTTTTGTTCCTTTCGGGACAAGGTTTTTTTTCGTTAGCGAGACTGGAACAACAAGCACGTATGCATCTAGAAACATGTGTCAAATTAAGAGAGAAGTTGTAAGAGGGATCCCTCGTGGCAAGAAATCAGTAGGACCAGCAAAGAGTGACATTCGGTGCATTTACTTCAGAACTGAAGTATGTGGAACAAAGGGTATAGATCTTGAGCCGTTCTCTGTCAAAAAGGAGGCAGCATATCTGCATGTTGGTACAACCTTGGCTCACTTGCATGAAGAAAAGCTAAGCTTCCGATGAAGATGTTCGAGGTACGAGAAAGGCTTTGATTCTGTTTCCTCACTTCCTCTCCTTCCTAAAATAGCAAATGACAAGAAAAAGAATTACTGAGCCTCTAGTGTGGGTAGAGTAATTTCAGGTACCAATGAACTTAACGTGCAAATAGAGGAAGTTTCTTCTTTTTCTTATAAATAGCCTTGATTATACGAAGGTTCCACCGTAACTCATGTGTCCTGTTCCCTCACTTTCCGCCTCCTTCAAACTGGCAAACGGCAAAGCGAAACACATGATTCTGGCAGTTATTTGAGGTACTACAAAGTAAAAGCGCTATACAGAGAAGTTTTTCACATTTGCAAATTGACTTTACTATAAAATGTTTGCGCTGCAATTCAGATCGCACATTTTTAAGCATATGCGCAAATATGTAGCGAGTTTTGAGTTACAGGTGAATTCGAAGTGAACAGTAGTTTTGACTGAATACTTTCGAGTTGAATATCAAATAGTTTCTCCCAGCCTACTGTACTGCAGCTTTAACGAAAACCCAGTTGTTCCCAAACTTCCACTTTCCAGGCTAATTTAAATTATCTCTAATTATAGCCTCAGAAAGTTCAATGCCTACATTCGTATAGGACATACATAGAGCCCTGCATATCTGCGGATATCCACAGCAAGCTGGGAGATGCTGATAACAATTAATCAGATTCAATGGATTGCAAATCGGATGGGGCTGCAAATGTGGATCGGATCCGGATATCTGCGGGTCTGGACCTACATTTTTGACAAGGCAGCCCATTAATGTGTGCAACTGCACAGTGTAGTGTGACTAAGTGAGTGATACTATCGTGCATCATGGAGTGTATTGCAGGAGCGAACTGTTCTCTTAGATAAAAGGTGCCAATCGGGGAGAAAATTGATTTGATTCTCGCCAAAGATTGCTTTAGTATGTTCAATCTCGCCAAAACTGCCGTCTCTGGAAAAAGTAAAGAATGCAGGAGCATCAGTCGGCCCGGAAAAGCGTTTTCTTGTGTGGCAGGGAAAGAACAGAAAACATTCTTTGGAAAAAGAAAGCCCAAAAGACAAGGAAGTAGAAAAGCCTACAAGTGGTTTCTTTGCCTGCAAGTAGATCCAGAAGATTGAACTCGATCCTCTGGAGTGGTGAAACTTGCACCAGCACGAGTTTCCACACCTCATTCTTGCAGCGCAGTTCGTGCATGCCACCCTGTGCACCTACGGGAAAAGACTTCTCATTGGCGGGTGTTAATTTAAGAGAGGCGAACCAGTCTGGGAATCCGTCCATGTTGACGATATTCTGTTTCTTCTGCACAGCAACCTCGACGAGTGAAACGTTGGGTGTGTGTGCGTTTTCTTTTTCTCAACAGTTGACACCAAGTTGTTTTTAAGTATATGGTTCCAAGCAGGCAGTTGAAGGATAGTGTTTAAAACTGAAACTGATAGGTGTTGCTATTATTGAGTATTGCGACATTTTCCCAGTGGTGTACTTGCGCCTTACCAGACACCATTACTTTGCTGCAGTGAATAAGCACATTTCCTCCCACTTTCTTGTTGTTTGGCCTAAATAAAATGACACAATGTTATTAGTCTGTCCTTTGATAATGCTCATGAATATAAAATATCCGTCTGCTTGAAGTGGGTTTTACGAAGCAAGAAGGAAAATAAATATTAAAATTTTCTTCCTTTTAAGCGCATCTTCTGGACAGAGTGTGAGTGTCACGGACTCCCAAAACAATCTCATAACTGCAATCATCTTTCCAGATATGCGAAGTTTCTCTGGAAAAATGATTGCTTATTTTTTAAATATGATAAAACCGGATACGATAAAATGACTTTCACCGTATTCTGACAGTCCTTTGTACAAAGGAAAGCAGACAGCTTATTCGCAACTCCAGCGACCTATAGGGGGCGCCACTACCAAACAAACATGGCGACTGGGAACAGGTCGCATCGGCTCGGCCGGGCTGCCTGAACGAGTGGCGCATTCAATTTACCAGTTTTTTTTGTTTAATGCCCCATTTTATAGGTATTTGGACTGCGACGGTTAAGTGTAGCCGGTGCACATAAACTTGCAGAACTTAGTTTTGTTTTCCCGATGCTTTTTGTTCTTTCCATGTCAAACTTTTATTTCCGAGATTTCGTTCAAAGCCGAAGCTATGGGCTTTGGAGAGACGGTTACAGACTCAAATCAGTATTGATCAGCTAAGGAAAGCGGCGATGACTACAGAATTGTTCCACCGAGAGTAATTTTCAGCTAACTCGCATGCCCTGTCCATGCGACTTATCTGTCTGCGAAATCTAGCTTTTGTGCGTATCCGCGTTTAGGAAACAGCCAGTTGTCTGCTCGGTCAATAACACAGGCTGCAGGAAAATGATGAAAATTAAGCAAGCGCTTCTTGCGCCAAGGAGCACGTTAACCCGCTGGTTAACCACTAAGCAGCTGATACTCGTATTTCAATTCAGGTTTTAGTAGAAATCGAGAAATCTTTTTGACGAATATGCGGGTTCTGTATTATATTACATACTATGTCCTACTAAAGTAATATTAGGATATTCTTTGGTTTGAAATATGAGTTTAGTTGACTAGCTATTAGGTGAACTGCTGAATAAAAGTATATTTGACAGACAGAGTGATTAAACTCAAACAAATGGTTCTAGCACGCAGCCTGCAGACGAATGCGAACAAACTGGAGAGAGTCTTCATCGGAGATTTATGCAGACCCCCTCTGCATTGAACTTGACTTCAAATCCTGAACAGAGAAATCGAGTATTTTTTGTGGCCGGACAACCTAAACAATGTAGACATATATTGCTGCAGGCTTTGACGGTGGTATAATATAAATATTGGAGTCGCGCTAGATCATAATGTCGTGACAGCTTCTAACTTTGCGAGACGTGTCCCCCACCTTTTGAAAGCATACAATTTTCCTCATTGCTCGTATGCAGCGAGCAGGTTTTCCGGAATCAAGTACAGTAAAACCTCGTTATAACAAAGCTGAAGGGGCGGTTGTAATTATTTCGTTATAACCATTAGTTTGTTATAGCCAATGTCCATTTCTTCCCACTATTTGCAAGCAAGGGGAATTATGATTGCTTTGTTATATCCATTAGTTTGTTATATCCCATTTTGTTATAAAGAGGTTTTACTGTAATTGCAAAATCAGCCCAACTCCTTCGGTGTGGCCCAGAGGCTTTTTCAGCAGCAGTCAAGATGAGTAGCCAACGCACTGACCGCCGTGGGTGGCTCAATCTTGAAGCTAATCGAACACAACCAAACTCAAGAAAAGCAGCTATCGAACCTTCCCATTTACTTGACTGCAACATTGGTGTTCCTTCCAGCGAAACACCTCATCTGTTGCCCTCAGTCCATTGTTCGACATCCCTATAAAGAAACCACTTATCAAGTGGCCATCACTTTGAATATGATTCGAGACAGACAAGAAATCAAAATGTTTTTCCGTGATTCCTCCCCATCCAAGAAATCGAAAGCATGCGACCGTGTGTTTTGGAATAAACGGGCTTTCAAACACGTGATGGAAGAAAAAAAAACTACCGAGGTTTTATCACACTGATGAACACTTAGGCAAACTTAAGAAATATTAGGACCTTTGTCAAATTACATTGTTCGACACCTCCACGCACCTTTGCGTATTGTTGGACAACACGTGTCCGAGAACACGCAAAGAAGCGCATCTTTGCGCCCGCGGTCCTGCTCCCCGGTGGTCGCGGGGCGAAGCCACGCCGTCGCCTCCCTCGTAGAATGGAAAGAAGTTGGGCGCACGTGTGTTGCGCGTCTCAACCACTGGGGAGCAGGACCGCGGGCAAAGAGATGCACTCTGATAAGAAACCGAAACCTAGAAACGTGTCCAAATGGAGCGTTTTTACAGAACACCATAAAATGCTGCCCCGGCGTTTTATCCTTCTAAAAAAGAGTTGATTTAGTGGTTTTTGATGATGCTCAGCAAGTTTATAATTGGAACTATATGGATATTTGCACTAATTAAAGTTAATCAACAAATTTTACTTAATCAGCCAACTAATAGTTGCGACTATCTCCCTATATTATGTCCTCTTGACCGTATAACTCACCTGCACAAACCGCATAAGTTTAGCCTTTACGGCTTTTTCTAAACAAATCTGAAAGAATAAAAAAAAAAAACACCCTGTATATATATAAATAGATGTGGTATAGAATATATATATATATATATATATATATATATAAAGAAATGCTCAGCCTAATTGAGGCTGGGCAACAAATCTTGCTATATGTAAACATTCTTCCTTCAAACTGAAACTTAATTTGAAGAAAAAAAAAAGAGGTGAATGCAGGTTGTTAGGGCATCTCGGCCTTATATACTCTTGCACAATAGCCATAGTCTAATTTTGAAAGTTTTACTGCAATGTAGGTATCAGCATTCACAAAGTTTTCGCTTACGTACACCAGGCATATGCACGTGTACCATCCTGGTTTGAAAGTGTGCTTTTCTACTATAAACGCGACTGCGATATCTGTACCTTTTTAAACGTAACTCGTGGCGGGTTAACTCCTTTGAGCGCGCTTCTTACTAAGCAACCCTGCGAAGAAGCAGCACCAGCAAAGCTCGCTTCTGCATCTGTTGCTCTTCCGCGGTGCACCCCTGCTCAGTAAAAAGCGCGCTCAACAAGGCTAACCCGCCGCAATCAAAACTTTAAAAAATATTACAGTTCATCTTGGGGAAAATGTAGAATAGCACATTAGTCGAAACTACTATTTGAAAATTCAAATATTTGCGCAACACTAAGAGTCATTTTATTTTTGTTGCCACTTAGCAGACGGCAGGGCAGATGATGCAAAAGTCGCCGCGGTGGGTCCCCCTCCCCTGGAGGCACTCAAGGTGTTCGACGTCCTTGCCGGCTACGGCGACCTCCTGGTGACCGACTCGAGCAACTCCTCCTCGCCCAACCCTGCGGTGCGCGAGACCGACCGCTCCTCCCACACGTACGAGAACCTCGACCTCCCGCCCTCGCGGAACCGCGGCGGGCCCCTACTCAACGGCGGAGGCGCCCGGGACTACGAAGAGGTTGCGTTTGGAGGAGAGGGAAAGCCCAGGGTGCCCCCGAGGCTGCGCAAGACGGGGAGCGCAGAGACGTGCGTGAAGAGAGACCGCACGGGGAGCTGCGACGGTCCCGAGGCTTCGGACAGTGCGGCGGCCCAGCGCCAGGTGGCACGTTCGCACTCGTGGACCAACCTGCACGGGCTGAGCCTGGCACGGAAGAACTCGATGGGGAAGCCACCCCTGCCCCCAGGATCCCCTTCCCTGCAGGTGCGGAGGAATCGCCCATCTTCTTTTCGGCAGAGTTACAGGCTCGATTCACATCTGCAGCAATAACCCAGTGTACCAGTATTTCCCTGCTCAGAAATCTTTCCCTGCCCATGAACAGATTCTACGCGAGAAGGTAACGCAGTTATGAAGGCCTGACGCCAAGTTTCAGCTTGATTCTAAATCGGGAGTTTTAAGTGATTTCTTTCCATTAAGGCGAAAGCCTTATATGTCTCATCATTCAGTTGACCTTCGAAGTCCTTGAGCGAAAACACGTCAGTGATACGACAGGTATGAGAACACGTCGGCGACACAAACGGTACCAAAACGTTTACACGGCATCTGCGAATTTGAATATTCCTCCGAAAAGACTTTTCGCTCTTGTCCCTCGGCTGGCGTCGAACCAGCGACCTTTTGTTAAATATTCCGACGCGATACCCCTCCGCCGCATCCGTAAATCATGTGTCTGTCTTTAATGCATCGGCGCCTGGGCTTTCGCCTTCAAGTCGTCTTAGGGATGACGTAAGGGCCCCTGTGAATTTTTTTTATTGAAACCCTCTTTTGTGCTGTCGGCAAAGTAGCAATAAGTAGCCATGGCTCGACGAAATTTTATGCTTTTCTGCAGCTTATTAACCCCTTTACTGTTTTGGACGAGCCTAGCTCGTCAACGTGGAGCCATCCCTAAACCGTTCAGGATGAGCTTGTCTGCTTTCTCCGGTTCATGCACTCAACCGTTTTGGATAAGCCAGGCTCGTTCATGGCTATTTTGAGGCCCTGCCAACAAATGGCAGTAGGGTGTGTTCAGGTAAGGAGTCGTGGTGGTGTCATGCCTTTTTTTTTTGTTTTCAATTAATTTTTTATATAAGGTAACGAAACCTGTCCACACAACGGAACAGACATACTTCCTTGCATTTGGGAGAAAAATCGCATTTGAGAGAAGATTGAAAAAACTATTTTCCCAACTGCACAATCACCCAAATTTGAAGGCTGGAGTAATAAAGAATGCAGCTTTCTACACCGTCAAATTTTGTATGTTCAATGCATGCATACTTTTTCTGCTAGAATTAGTTAAAGTTAACTTATATGAGCATATATTTCAAGCGAAATAAAATGCCAAACTCGGCTTCTGGAGCAAATCTTACATAATGAGGCCTTTTTCGGCAAATTTTTAAGTCGCTTTGAATTTATATTCTAAAGCTGAAACGTTTTTTGTCGAGTGGTTTATGCCTTGTGCACTTCTAACAAATTAATTAGCGTTCTACTGTTGAAAGTGTTTTCTGCATTGCGCCCGGAAATTTAGTCAAAATCGAAAAAAATCAAAATTTTGCAAATTTTGTTCAGCAATCAAGAGAGATAATCATTCTCGACTTTCTTTAGATTTTACCCGAAGGCCTTTCATGACCGATAATCACAAATCTGCAAAAACATGTTGCATTATTTTGTTTTAAAACAGAAAAAAAAAAGTGAAAGCCGTTTACAACTTCTTGTAACGCCGAATTGGAGCGCAGCTCTTGAGGAGGAGGAGTGGAGGGTATATTCCTCCTCCTCCCTCGTGATCATGCCTGCTAGTGCTCCTCCCCTCCTGCTCCCCCTCCCTCTCCTTTACCACCTCCTCGTCCTTCAAGCTCCTCCCCTCGCCTCCGCCTCCTCGTCTCTCCTCCCCCCCTCCTCCACCTTCGTACTGCTTTCCTCCTCGCCGCTGAAGTCATGTGACCCCCCCCCCCGAGGTCACGTGACCCCCCCGAACCAGACAATGAGGGGAGGAGGAGGAGGGCAGAGGTCCGGGGGGTCACGTGACCTCGAGGGGACGGGATCACATGACCTTGGGCGGGCCGTCACGTGACTTCGGCGGGGGGAGGGGAGTCGCCCCCCGGGGTCACGTGACCTGGGCGGGGAAGGAGGGGGAGGAGGAGGAGCGGGGGGAGGAGGGGGACGGGCGACGCCGACAACGCCGACGCCGACGCCGCACAGGCTGGAAACGGGTTATGTGACCCCCTCCCCCCGAGGTCACGTGACCCGCCCGGACCATACTACACAATGAGGGGAGGAGGAGAAGGAGGGGAAGAGGAGGGGGAGGAGGAGGAGAGGGAGGGGCGCGGTTACGCCGACGCCGACGGCGACGCCGACGCCGCTCAGGCTGGAAACGGGCCCCTAAGAGCTGCGCTCTAAAATGTAACCAGGTCGCGGTCACATCATTTACCGCTGGGCAGTTTCTGTCTTAACGACTTGTGGTACATGAGCAACGCATGCCACAGTATCCGTACTTGGTCATATTAATGCCCAGGCACCATGAAGCACTATAAAAAAAGCACGTGCCAGGCACGTAGCCAGGATTGTTTCGGGGGGGGCCCACCCATGACAAAATGCTGTATGAGGGAGAGGGGGGAGAGGAGGACCCATGCAAAATGGAAGATTTCGGGGGGGGGGGGGGGGGGGGGGCGGGCCCCATGTGCCTCCCCCCTGGCTACGTGCCTGGCACGTGCACTTGGTTGTATCACTGATGTGGCTGATATTGCCAATGAATACTGAACGTTGCGGCCCGTCCAATCCTTTTTGGGGTGTTATACCGGGCTGGTGAGATGTTAATTGTGCTACCATTTCCAGTTAGTACTTTAATATTAGTAGCTGGCTGACAAAATAATTTGATTTGTATTTCTGGGCACCGCTCAAAAGCTTGCTTACAAAATAGCTTGATTCTGAAGGTTTCCAGCTGAACGTAGAAGTAAAACCAAGGAGTGAAGAAAAAGAGGCACACACTGCTGGACTATCAACCATTTACTGAAATTCTTCCTTTTCCTTTTCATCTACCCTCATGAATTATACGACTGAGATCCCAGGGGTAACTTTTTCTTCTTCGGTATGACACTTGGTGGCTAGCGTTCACATGTTTCGGACTTGGTTCCCCACTTGGGGCGCTCCCAGAAGATACAGTTTTTCTTTCGAAAATAGTGTGAGGGAGGCGGCACTCACGCATTCGTCCCCGTGCGCCTCAATAGCCAGAGATTCCAGGATTTCCCTTGAAAGCTGGTTTTTGTGCTTTCCGACGATGGATGATTTGACCAAATTTCAAGGCCCGTTGAGGTCGAATTAACGAAAGTTTACTTAAAACAAATTAAACGATTAGCAAAGAGCACCTGGTGGATGTCGCTGACGCCTCGTTTGTAATGCTCGTCTAGGAACCTTGACAGGTAGTGACGGGGAGTGTCTCGCCTCTGGCCACAACGAGAGAAGAAGGGAAGGAGGAACTCCCCTCTTCCCGAGAATCCCTTTTGTGTGTCGCAGAAGTCGCTATTGTCCCCCTACAGGATTACAGAAAATTAACCATCACTCAAAATTCGTACAAAAGCAGCCGTTTCGGTGGCTGGAACGACTAAGCCATCCTCTCGACGTCAGCCCCGCCGTAGCTTTGCTCGTCCTGAGGCGAACTATGTCACGATTGCGTTGGATGTCACGTGCTCTCCGAGGGCTTGCCAGAGTGGGGCGTTTATAACGAAAAATATAACCACCCAGGCTCAAAATACAAACGTGCTATAGTCATTTACGGATATTGTGGATCATATTCAACCTATTTTTGAACACGACGGGTATATTTCAAATTTCGTTCAAGTATCCCTTTAAGACAGAAACGCCCCAGCGGTGATTGTGCGACCATGACCTACTTACATACTTATTCTTTTGTTTTAAAACAAAACAATGCAACATGTCTTTACAGATTTGTACTTACCGGTCATCAAGGGCCGATCGAATAAAATTTAAAGAAAATCGAAAATTATATATTTTTTTAATTGCTGCACAAATATTGCAAAATTTTGACTGTTTCGATTTTGATGAAATTTTCGGTTGCAATGCAGAAAACACTTTCAACAGTAGAACGGTAATTAATTTGTTAAAAGTTCACAAAGCATGAAACACTCGACACATAAAGTTTCAGCTTTAGAATATAAATTCAATCAGACTTAAGTATTCGCCTAAAAATGCTTGTTATGCAAATTTGTTCTAGAAGCCAAGTTTGACATTTAATTTCGCTTGAAATATATGCTCATATAAGTTGACAATTCTGGCAGAAAAGTATGCGTGCATTAAACATGAAAAATGTGACGGTGTAGAAAGCTGCATTCTTTATTACTTCAGCCTTGAAATAGGCATGACACCACCATGATCATTCTTATCTGAGAACACTGAGTACTAATGTCTTTTTTCTTTCTTTAAGTTTGCTTTCATGTTGTTTGTGGCTAGAAACTGTAGTTTAAAGGGAACAACTCTAACTTTCAAACAGTTGAAGGTCAGAAATTCCCAAAAATCAAAAACTGCTAAGGGGTTAATGAAGAACATGGTTGTAAACCTGAGACTGGCGTAGGAAAAGGAAAACGCCAAGACAGAAAAAGAACAGGCAAAGTTGGAGATGTTGCCTGTTCTTGTTCTGTCTTCCTTTGCATTTTCCTTTTCCTACCAATTTCAGGTTTGCAGTCATGTTTAACGTACACCAGCTCGCCTGCACTCTATTTGTGGGGCTAATGAACCCCACACCATGGAATGCTTGAACTTCATCGACAGGTAACCCCAGCTGCGAAGACAGGATGCAAAAGCTTCAGCTCAATATTGTGCAGTAAAGTAAAGCGTTATAAACAATTTCTGCAAAAATTTAATTACAGCCCACTGTTTGTTGTTGGTAGCAGACGTCAGCTGGCAACTTGAATCGTAGAGCTGTCGTTTACTTGCACAACCATGGAGACGCAATCGTATGTAACTGAAAGCTGGTGCAATCTATGGGCCACAATGTTCAATTGCCGGCCTATGCCCGATAAAAACAAACTCAAAGTGCGATCAGCCCTGCACATCTTAAGCCGGCGATAATTTCTACCTCACCCTCGTTCAATTTTCTGACTGCAGTCGAGAACCGGTCACTCCACAGCAAGCTCGGCGGATCACGGCAGGTCCCTCACACGCCCAGGGTCCGCGAGCCCACGCACGGCCAGTCCGTTGAGCCCCCGCAAGACGACCTCACCCGTCCGCGCAGCCACGATTGGACGGGCGGGGGGACGGTCCTTCAATGGCCCCCCGACCAGCTTCGGCAACAGCAACGCAGGCGACGTCTACACCGAAGCGGGTGGCGGCGACGAAACTGTGCCGTCGCTCTTCGACGGTGTTAACGGCTGCCTCTGCTTGCCATTCGCGACGAACAATCCGACGACGCCCGAAATGCCCTGCCTCGTCTGCAACCGTGGCGAGGCCTTAGGGAGTGCATTGGGCAACGAGAATGCTCCCGATGCTCCGTTCCTCCGTGCCCAGGAGCAAGTGTACACGATGGTCCTGCGCATCGATGACGTGGCGCGAGATGCGACGGCACTCCAGCGTTCGGCGACTGACACGAGCGTCGGCGACAAGTTCTCGTCGGCCCGCGATGAGCTGGTCACAGAGTCGCGCCAGTTCGTGACCGCCTCCAAACTGTTTGTGCGCAGCGCCACCGAGGGGGCACCCAATGTGCTGGAGCACCTAGTGACGTGCGTGGCACTCCTAGACCGCATGTTTGCAGCATGCGAGATGCTGGTCCTCTCCGGCGGTTCCGCCTGGTCCGGCCTCGTAGAGCAGGTCAAGGCTGTGGCACTGGCGTATACACGCGCCGCCGGCGCCGCGAGAAAGTCGGCGCAGAGCGGGGCCAACGGCGGAGCCGTCGGCTCGCTCATGCATCAGGCGACCGACCTGGCGTCCGCACTCACCGCGCTGATGAGGACTCTGAGGTCGTTCGACAACTCCTAACTTGGCCCGTCTCCCTGTAACCCCCGTGCGATACCCCTCGCCCCCTCCCCTGGTTTTCGTTAGGACGTGCAGTTACAGTGCGTTGTTTTTTCGGATGGACTTTTTTTTTTTTTTTCGTTTCGAGATCTTATGTGGAGGGACCAATGATTGGAAGGTGCAAGGTCTGACGAGCACTTAGATCGAGTCTGGGATGGTTTTAGACGCAATGTTTTGTGCAAAGACGCGCCACAGCTGCCTGGGAAGACATCCAAGGTTGTGAGGGCGAGCGAGGGTCGCAAAATAATCTCAATATCCCGCACAGGTCGTCTCACCAGAGGCTCGAGATGCGATCATCGATAACGACGCACGTCAACAACAGCAGGGATTGCTCCAGAGTTATAAAGCGCTTTCTTGGCGTCTTCTAGCTTTGAAACCATATATCTACAAAGGTTACCAATTGTTTAGGCCGTCAGGCCCCTTAGAGAATGAAACGGCAGCTTGGAGGACTTCCAGTTGAACCGAAAGCTTAGCCAGCTTTGCATTTTGCTTCAGAACTGGTTTCTTTCTTTTTGCTTGCTAGTTTTTTTTTTTTACTATTACGTGACGTGCGTGACAAACAAGGAGGCATTTGGTAGCATCTAGCTGCTTGCGCAGGTCGAATCATTCCGTGCTCAAGTTAGGCTTTAAGCAGCATTCGTCTTAGTCGAAGCAACTCCCGTTTTTCAAGTTTTTGCGTGTGCGCATGTTTTTACCTGGCAGAAGGAAAACTGTCCTCTTAATGTTTTGGACGATTGAAATGACGGTCACACTGTGCTCGGAAAACCCCTGCCGTGCCTGTCGACTTTTTTTTACGGAGCGTTTTGGTGCGAGGACTGGAGCTAGCATTTAAGCCGACAAGGAGTGTACCGCCATCTCTCCCCTTTTTCTTTTCACTCTCAACCTCTACTGGGAAGGGGGAAAGAGAACAGTGCTCGTTCACAGTACCAAGGTTCCACACAGGACTACATCACCAAACACGTGCGAGAGAGCGAGAAAAAAAAAAAAAAAAGGAAACATGATACTCAGGCAGCCATTTTTCCTTGCGCTATCGTTTTTAAATGTTTTGTCGTCTCCAATGCGTGCTATCTCACACAGTTGCCTTCGGGAGAGAAATGCGGGTTTCTTCTCCCAAAACGTTGAAGATACTGTCCTATACAGCACAGCTGTCGTGCAAGAAAAGGTCGGAAAGAACCAAAAAAAGGGATTGTTCGTGAAGCAGCTGCGAGTGTCGCAACAGGATGGGCATGGGACAGTGTTGTTGGGGCATTCAGAGTTGAAGCAATAATACCGCACGATTTGCGGCAATATGCTGCGAGCATTTGACGGCGGCCACATTGCTACAAAGGGTGGCGCAGCAGCGCGAGAGGCGGAGAGAGAGAAGGAATGTGTATTTTTCATCCGTATAACTCTACTATCTTTGTTAGGAATCTCCTGGCTATCAAGCACGCAAGACGGAGTCAAAGCCCAGACATGCGCATGCAGACGGCATTTCGGGTTCTCCGTGCTTAACGACCAACTGCTCATTGTCAGTCCCCAAATGTATAATAATGACGGAGGGACACCTGACCCAAACGACGAGATACCAACATACAAAAAAAAGAATCTTCAGACTTTTTATTTCGGAATAATAAAGAGTTTGCAAAAGTGTTGCTCAATCTTGTTGTGTGCTTGGGCTGAAAAGGCTGCTGGAATGTAGAATGGTGTTAAAAAAAGATCTCCGATGTTAAAAAAAAAAAAAGGAAAAGGCACAGAAACTTCTTGTTTTACCACTGTTTGCACGCTGCATCGTTAAAAAAAAAAAGAAAAAGGCTTTGTACACCTAGATCGCTCATGTGTATTCTTCAGTTGCCAACTAGGAGACGCTGCAATTCTTTTCCTGATGCTGAAAAAGAAGTAGACGAAAGAAATGAACATGATTGTTGTACAACTTTACAGGTGGAATGCCGCCAAATACAGCGATTGAGTTCGTCGAAGACCCAACTGAACACTTTTTGGCAGCAGTGCACATGGTACGATGCACAAAGCAGCCCCCACAAAATGGACAAGCTCAGTGACAAGCATCAAAATTTTATCCAGTGTACTTGCTTGGCCAATGACCACTTTTATTTGTAACTTGGCGATTAATGACGGCCCCATTAATGGTTGTTACATTCATAGAACCAAATCGCATGTTTACTTCTGCCATGCACACTAAGGAAGAACAAAGAAGAAAAAGGCGCCATTACCCTCCGATGTGGGGCACCCTGGCTCCTGCGACCATGTGCGTTCTGGTCACTGCTGCAAGCAAAACAAAGCATGAAGTCATCTCTTCCTTTCCACCACTCCAAGAATTACTCGCGCAATTAATCATTACACAATTCACAGGCAAGTTTCACAGTTATTCTTGCTTGCAATGAACTTGAGGTTTCAGTGCGACAGGTGCACAAATGTGCCAGTGCAAAACATGCTGACGTCTGCTGTACATACCCATCTTCCGGGAACTCTGCTTCATACAGCGACTGTTGCAGTGCCAGCGCAAGAGCTTCATCCTCTGTCTGTAAGGAACAGGACGCAGTTGGCGTTGCTATACTATGGGAGACCGCTTCGCAACAAGCGACGGGTTCTGAACTTTTACCCCTACTGTTGACCTCATTTTCGCATAATAGCTCGTAAAGGTAACTCCTTGCCTCGGTACAATAGCCAATATTTTGCCGAAAGACTCAGTTTCCTAGAAAACGTGGGCCGAGGCTTTACGGTTAGCTCTTAAGCACCTACTACAACCTTCCCAATTTGTTTGCGCAATTCCTCGTTTTGATTTCAGGTACAACAGTATCTGGGTGGTTTCCTGTCAAAGTTACATTCATATTTTGTGTCAGCTTGGTGATGTGTAGGAAATCTTTGTCGCAGGGACAAGAACACCCAACTCGAAGAATCGCAATGACATAGTCGCCAGCTAATGCAGGGCGTATTTAGTGCGGAACAGTCGTACAAAATGCAGGACCAACGACGTTTCGTTACGTTAGGCTCCCAGAAGCTAGCACGGGGTGCTGAACCTTACTGCCGCAACCTAAGAAGAATGCCCTCGGTGACTGGATGAGGGAGGTTGTGCCTGGAATAGTTCCAATGCTGGCTAGCATACTCACACGATTTTGACAACCATCTCGACATTCTTGCCCACTTGTTTGGATTTTTGTGAACTATTAAAACGTTGGAAAAAGCTGGGGGCTTACCAGGTTGCCCTGAAGCACAGATGCACTGACGCAATTATCATCTACTGTGCACGGTCTCTGCGGGGACGCAGGTGGCCTCTGGGTCGTTGCGCAAGTCCTCCGATACATCATCTTGGTCTGGGCTGCAGGTGAGTTGGTCGTTCTATGCTGCAACCTCGCCATGGCAGCAGCACTGCACATTGTACAAGGCAGAGTACAGCTTGTGATTAGGTTCCATGTAAATATTTACCTACTTCACTGCTGGGGGCATGCTACCACAGCAGTGAGGGGGCACTTGTGCATCTTGCTGCTACAGATTCTGCTTCTTAGCAAAGCTGGCAATCTCTATGCTCATGTCTGCCCTTCATCAGAAGGCAACTAGTATCTTGATTTTGGCAGTTGGATACTTTAGACCCAAAACAACGCGCTTTTTGTGTAAGGCTTGTCAAATTATGAGGCTTTATGCTGAAAACCAGCCTTCTGAAGCCTTTATGCTGAAAATCGGCCTTCTGCGTTAAGTCCTTATTTCAACCTCTTTTTGTTCGCATTCGACCCATTGAAAAGCATGCGGGAAGCGCCTCGTATCGCCGCGCCGCAGTGTTCTTCCGCAGCAAAAAGGCCGTCTGCTTTCATCGCCGTCACCATGACAACGAATGCCGAATGACTTTTTTGGACGGCACATGTATCACTAGTAGGGATGTCGCGAACCACCCTAGGTTCGATTTCGAAAGGTTTCGATATTTGCGAAGCGAAGTGAGGTTCGATTTCGGAAAATTTCGATATTTTCGTACCGACCGAGGTTCGATTTCGAAAAATTCGCAACTTTTGTCCACAGCGGAGTTTCGAATTCGAAAATTTCGAAGCTTTCACGGTTTCTAAAATTTCGAATTCGAATATTTCGAATATTTTTTACTTCAGGTTCGATCAATTCGAAGATTTCGAAATTCTTTGTAAAAAAAATTCGCAAACTTCGAACGCTTCGAATTTTTATAGCCATGAAGTTCGAACAATTCGAAGATTTCGAATTTCTTTTTGCATAAAGTTCGAAAAGTTCGAAGGTTTCGATTCATTTTTAACGCTAAAAAAAAAAAAAAAACTTCGAAGATTTTGAATTTTTTTCTAATCCAAGTTTTCAAAGTTCGAAGTCCGATTTTCAAGTTTTTCTACAGTTTCAGTTTCAAATAACGTTTTCACGACTCACTGGTTTTCACAAAATCAAGTTTAGAAAAGTTAGGGTGTGATATCTAGATTCTGCGAAGTTGGGTCAGGCAATTAAATGAGACGACGAGTGTCCCGGACGTGCTAGAATATTTGCCAGTGCAGAATTGTGACCGCCAGCCCCGGGGGGGTCTTTATCACGCAGTAGTGATTGCACGAACACACTGTTTTACAAGACTCATCCAGTTCGAAACGGCCAGGGGCGAGCAGGAGGTTGAGGCTCAGAAAAACCTTGAAGCGACCTGGCAAACTAGCTCGCCACCCCTTGCACGCTGGTAGTAATCCGATCCGGTGCTTATTTTAATCTGAAATTATTTATGCATATGTATAGCTACTGTCGCTCTTCACTGCATAAAAGGTTGCGTAGATGGTCATTGTTAGAAACTCGTTGTCAGAAGGCACTGCTCGTCACATGCTTAGTGGTTCGGAAGTTCAAAGCTGTCTTTTCGACCTAAACACGTGTGCCCACTCCTGTGCCGATAGTAACAAAAAAAAAAAAAAAAAAAAAAAAAAGAATAAATGCGGGAATAAAAAGCAGGAGAAAAAAAAAACTATCAAGAATTCGTCGGAAGTGTTCTATTCTTGCATATTCAGAGGTTCAGAACTTCGAAACAAGTTTCTTTTACCAAAATGTGTACAGGCTAAAAGAAACACGTCCCAGGAACGTGAAGCGAAAAAAAAAAAGTTTTTTTTTAATGACGTGCTGAATTTGAAACTACTAGAAATCTTCTGCCATGAGTTAATTTATTCCTTAACGTGAAAAAACAATAAATATATTATTTTGTATTCTGCAGATGGCAATGATATGTACTGTCTGTGGTGTTAATTTAAATGCGATACCTCAAACAACTTAGACGAAAATAAATATCAAGTTTAGGTCATAATTGCATGCAGATACATGTTTGGACATTTCTTCGAAACTCACGTTGAATAACAATAATCACATCTTAAGACGGCACTTACCTATGCTATACATAGATCATTCTTAAAAAAGTATAACATATCTACCATAAATAGCTCCGGCTGCTGCACCGTGCTTCAAATCTGGCACAAACGATAATCGTCAAAAACCCGTCGTCTGTCCTCGCCCCTTCGGGGATTTATTTCTTTAAACCTAAGCATGGCAGAACATTGAAATAAATGACATTGTCTTTCGTAAGGAACGCAGCACCGCGCGTAAAAGTTCGAGAAAAAAAAATTACGAATGTACCCCACTACTTGAAATCAAATGAAACCGTCCGCCGGTCTTTCGAAGTTCGACGAACGTCGAACTTTTACCCTAAAAGTTCGAAGTTCGTCGAACTTCTGACTTTTCAGAATCCGAAAATTCGAAACTTTTCGAATCCTCTTGATAAATAAGTTCGAAATTTCGAAATTCATCGAATTTTTTGGTCAGTCAAGGTCGAAAGTTCGACAAGCATCGAACCTTGCAGCGCAATAAGTTCGAAAGTTCGAAAAAGATCGAATTTTTTAGCGTAATAAGTTCGAAGGTTCGAAAAGCATCGAACTTCTTAGCTTAACAAGTTCGAAAATTCGACCTCCGTCGAATTTTACGATATAAACAATTCGAAAAATCGAAATCTTTGGAACCTTTCGAACCGCTTGATTCGATCATCGAAACTTCGATTCGAAAAAAGTTCGCGGCATCCCTAATCACTAGGGAGCGTGTTCACCCACCCCCCCTGCCTGCGTTCCCGCTGCTCATTACAAAACTATTGGGCTAGCAGAAGGCCTTCCAGAAAACGGCGTTCGTTGCCATGGTGACGGCGATGAAAGCAGACAGCCTTTATGCTGCGGAAGAACACTGTGGCGCAGCGATCCAAGGTGCATGCCAAGGCCCTTCCCGCATGCTTTGCAATGGGCAGAATACAAGCAAAAGGATTTGAAATAAGGACTTAATGCAGAAGGTTAATTTACACCAGTGCCTCATAATTTTATAAGCCTTACACGAAAGGCATGTTTTTAGACCGGACTTTGGAGATAGTTTTTTTTTACACCAACATGAATCTAAATATCAATGTGCCCATTTTTTTATATAGATGAAAAATTTAGGAAACTTTTGTTAGCTTCTTGAAAATTTAGTTTTTTTTTTTGCTATTTTTAATTAGTTTAAAATAAAACAAGTAGTATCGCACACATTATTTTTCTTCGTTAAACTCATTGGTTTAAAAGGAGCGAATTCATTTATTTTGCTAGGCCCTTTCATACTGCCATGCCCCCCACGTGTGAAAGAACACGAGTTATAGCCTCAAGTTGAGCTAGTTTGTACATGTTAGGTATAAGTGTCAGCTAGAACATAAACACGAACACAAAGTTATGTTTTCGCTGACACCTATATGCAAGAACATGTTTTTTCTGCATGTGCATTGCATTCAGAACATAAAAAACAAGCCATATCAAGTTACGGGTTTGGGTTGAGCTAGTTGGTGCATTACTAGGGTAGGGTCAGCTTGAACACGGGAGCCCATGTCGAGCCTGCGAGCCACCTCCCTTCGTAGTCCCTCTGCTCCAGTGACATTGTTTTTGTTTTTTCGTAAACACTATCTATTTTTGACATCCACTCTAGCTCGGGCTACTCTTGTAGTTTCTCTCGCGCGGCCAATCTGTTGAAAACGAGAAGTGAAATGTCTAAACAAAGTTTGAGTTTAGACAAGACTTTGGGCACACTGCTATTTGCGTCTTGTATTACAAAGGTTGAGGGAGCAGGTGTCGAGCTTTGTTAGTATACAAGAGAGCCCATTTACCTCTTGTCTACTGATAATAAGTGTCACTCGTGCCACCCTTTACGGACCATAAAGCCCGACCACAAATGTGACTCGTGTTTCGGCTTTGGTGCTTGTTTGGCGCGCTTTCTAGCTGATGACAGTACCACCCTCGTTGCTCCAGTTAGCTTGGGTTGTTTGCTTGTTTGTGTTCATGTTTCACAGAAAAAAAAAAGTGCACCAAAACAACATGGTTTCAGCTTCGAGGTCCACATTAGCCGACGAAGACATCCAAAAACTTCTTTTTGAAAGTGAATGCTTAGGCATATCTGACGACAAGCCTTGCAACCTTTTCAGTAACTCAGAATCTGATAGTTCGATGGACAGTGATGGGAGTGATAAAAATGATGTGAATCGTTTTCACCACTCCGATTAAGGTGGCACACTACCTTCCGGAATGTTTTCAGTGCTATAACACTAGGGTGACCAGACGTCCCGTTTTGGCCGGGACAGTCCCGTTTTTGAGGTCCGTTTGGGCCGTCCCGTCTTTTTGTCCCAATAAGGAATCATGTCCCGTTTTCGCAGGAGTGCATAATTTCGAACTTGGCACAGAGCGAGTTGAAGCAAGCGGAAACTATGCCCACTTGTTACAAATATATTTTACAAAAATAAAAAAGAAGAAAAAAAGTAGGCACTTTAAAACATTTACCCAGTAAAATTCGGAGAACTGTTCTTGCCCACAAACACGTATTTTTGTCAAGACTCGTGAATAGAAATATTTTTTTTTTAGTTAATGAATACAGCACGCATGAAATATGTTAACGCTTTGAAATCGCAAATCTGGCCTTAAATTTGTTCTCCCTATCTCAACCTTTACTACACCCATCCCCTCCCTTCCCTCCTCTCTCTCTCTCCTTCTCCTCCTTCTTTCTCCCCCTCACTCACTCACTCCCCCTCCCTCCCTCCCTCCCCCCCCCCTTTCCGGGCTGGGATGTCCCGTTTTCTACCTTGAGAAATATGGTCAGCCTATATAACACTGAAAAACTACTGAAGGAGACCAGAAGACCTGAAAGTTAAGAAAATGATTTTATCTTATTTTGATGCAAATTGCACGTTCAAAATGAAGTTCTGCAGTTTGTTGCTTGAAGAAAAAAATAAGCAGGCAAGGGCTTAAGCACTTAAAAAATGCAACCTATTTCTTTTTGTAAATGCTTGAAGGTGCAAAATTGACAAAATTTTGGGATTGGGGCTTCATTAAAAAGCTTTTCATGCTTAAAAAAAAATGTGGCAAGTCTGTTTATGAACAACCAAGCTGTAGTTGCAACACACTCTTGCTGAATTAGTACCACCTGTTCCCCATAAACAAGTAATCTTGCAATGGACTACAATGCATGCAAACTTGACAAAATTTAAACAGTCCTTCCAATTCACATTGCAAATCAAGTACCGTAATATCCCGAGTCATCGCCCACCCCCGAGCCATCGCCCACCCCATTTTTTGGGCAGATATCGATTTCCGAAAAAAACACCGAGTCATCGCCCACCCCTTCAAATACCCCAGCGCGGACTCTGTGATCCGCGAACACTCATCCTACCCGAATGACGCGGCCGCGGACCTTACAGTTGGAGGACGTCCGTGACAAAGTAAAACGAAGGAGGGAAAGACACTTCTTTTTGTTTACGCATTTCCTCCGTGAGCGACCCCAAAGTGGTGGTGTATCCGTGCGAAAAGAAAACGATGGAGATAACAAAATAAGAGTTTGTTAACGTAACCTCCGAGTGTTAGGTCAAAGTCTGTCTCCGCCGAAGTAAGGTCACCGCGAACCCGCTCCTTCTTCCCGCCCGTCGCGACCGCGGTTGTGCAATATTTTAGGCAAAGCCAAAGCGTAAATAAAGCTTTGCTGGAACGTCCTACACAAACGTTTGCAGAGCGTCCCAACCGTGCATTGATAGCCCGCCGTGCACGGACGCACGTATGTACGCACCAAACAAGAAAGTTGCGCAAGAGCTTGCAATTGACAAGGCGCCCGACTTGGCCCGACGCCAAAGTATTTGCCAACCCGACCGCCAGCTTTCCCGCTTTCCCAGCATTGCTCTTGGTCGCTTCTTTGGTCTGCTCGCTCGCTCGCTCGCTCGTTGCGCCTGGTCGGTTTTTCTATTTTTTTTGTAGACTTCTTTTTTTTTTTTTTTACTAACTAGAAGAACATAATGGTGACATTCTTTCACGGAACAAACGTTCGTGCTATATGCAGATCGGCGGTGTTTCTAGAGCGTATGCAAGCAACGGACTTCGCTATAGTAAAATATTCTTTCGTGAGTATTTTTTTATAAAACAATGAAACTAAATCGAGTTTTGAGTTCGATGTATCTCTTGTGCATCAGCGCTAGATACGCAGAGAAAAATAGGCGGTTTTTTCCGCTTTTTTTCAAGTGTTTGTGCTCACCCACCGAGACATGGCCCACCCCACTTTTTTAACGAATTTCAGGCGGTTGGGGGGTGGGCGATGACTCGGGATATTACGGGTACATTTTTTGTACTATTATGTGCAAATAGTTCCTAACAAACAAACACTATAGATGGCTTGCATTGATGCCACACCAACATCTATTCTGGTGGCCTTCTGCTGAGCAAATATTTTTAGCCACCCACACTTTGTGCCATCAAATTTGTTTTTCATGGCAAGAACAAGTGAGAACGACCACCAGCATGGTGCAATGATGTCATGTGCCAACCATGTATTTAAGAGGCACTAGATGCAGTAGATGTGTACTTGCCCAGAGGAAGACAGTCCTCTGCCAGTACAGCTGTGGTCGTCAGGATGTCTGTGCTTGAGACAGTGGTTGAGGTTGCACTGGCCGCACAGCACGGGAACCAGTTCCTTTTGCTTGCATCCTTTCATGGAGCACCGATTAGTGAATGCCTGAAAGGACGAAAAGCCTCCATAAGGGACACCAACTCTACGAAGCTATGGCACTTGTTTTAAAAGTTTCTGGCTTGCGCGCGGCACACATCCAGGCATCGGATGCAGCTTTCGTTCTTTATAAGGCGATTCAAGCGGCAAACCACGACAAATATGCAATAAACCATTCGTCAACATGTGTTGCCATCTACACCTTCCGAAAGAAGCTGCGACTTTTCGTATGGTAATGAGGAAAGTTCAGTTTTTAATACTAAACTGCATGCATAACATGTAGTTTTGTTAAGTGTGATATGAAGTGTTTATGATTTAAGGGTAAACACTAACCCCCCCCCCCAAAAAAAAAAAAATTACAAACAACATGTATTTTAAGTACTACACTGAGGAAGTGCACATTTTTATTAGCTAGATCTATTCAAATTTTCATACCCATATCACATCCTTTGAAAAGCTTTTCCCATTTTTTAGAATTCATTTTTCATCACAACAAAACTTTCAGCCTTTCCATTCTGGTGAAGAAGGAAGAGCAGCAGAACTGTAGCTTCTATTCTCGGCGGTGGCTTTCCGGGCGAGTGAGCTGATCATCTTTCGCAAGGGAATCTGAAGCGCTCAACGCAGCAGAACTTCAGGCGATAGTGGCCTCGCGGCGGTTGCGGAACCATTTGCACTGCTGCGCACATTGCCGCTCGTTCCATTCCCACTCTTCTTCCAAAGAAATGTTGCCGCCATCTATGAGCGACGGCAGCAACCAGCTGTCTGGTTGCCGCGATCTATGAGCGACGCCGGCAAGCAGACAACCGGCAAACACAACACTCTGGACAGCTACCGCCCTCTATGAGCGATGGCGACAACCAGAGTGTTACGTCGACCAGGAGTGTCGACATTTGTTTGGTACCGGACACGATCATGGGAAACTAGCCCTAACACAAAGTTTTGCCCATGGTATCTTTGGATCTCGAACTTTGACCGGGATACTTTTATCTGGGTTTAGAACCTCACAAGCCAGAGAGTGCAACAAAACTACTATTTCTGACAAATGTTACCTACAAGCTAAAGTTGAGGCTTGGGCGAGTTGGTATGTGCTTCGGAATTAAAAACAGCGCGGAAAGACGAGGACCAGACAAAGAAGTGACACAGACGTAGCGCTGCGTCCATGTCACTTCTTTGTCTGGTCCTCGTCTTTTCGCGCCGTTTTTAATTCTTAACTACAAGATTTCCTAACTGGCAAAGACGTAAATGACTGACCAAAATGGAGGCGAGCTGGTGCACATTCATAATGAAAAATCTAGAGACAAGGAGCAGGGAGGACAGTGTCTCAAAACCAGCACATAAATTATTTAATTTCTGGACAATATTCTTTCTTGTTCTCTTTGCAAAGCACAAACTACATGAAACACATTCCCACATCAGTTGCAGGCTCTACGTCGTGAAAGTCTCAAGCACACAAACACAGGCTTAAAAGCAGTCTGGAAAGTTCCGTGCACACAACAATTTTAAATGGTAAAAGTTAAAAAAAAAAAAAAAAAAAGTAAATGGTAAACGTATTTGAGTTCTTTTTGGGCAAAAGTTCCCCATTTGTCCTTGGGGTCAATATATGGATGCTTCTCAGCAAGTTAGGGCAAAAGCGTGGACAATATGTGAGGCATCTACTTTTAGTTGGTGCCTTAGGAAGAAGTACCTTGACCTGGAGCAATTTAGGCACCCGTCCATCAATCATCAACGCTTACAGGACTGTGGTGGTGCAACATCTCAAGGAAGTGCAGCAGGTGTGTGACATTCTTTGGACAGTTCTTAAAGTTTCACACTTGGCTGTTACAAATAGCAGAGTTGCTAACCTTCCGCTTGGCGAGGGCGGGATCCGACCGACATTCGCGGTCTATGTGGCTGCTGACAGCAACATCGGGAGGATCCCCACGTTTGCTGGGCACAGGCCGGTTGCAGAGCGGGCACACAGGCACTTGCACGTCCTTGGCAACTCCCACCAAACAGTTGTGCTGGACGTAGTGGAAATGGCTCATGCTGCCACAACAGAATGCACATTAACAACAACAGCACAAAGACAACAACACACAGGAGACACACAGTGGTTGTTATGGTGTTTCACCAACTCGCCCAAGCTGCCATTTTCACAAAAATGCACATGTCAGTACAGTGCAGCATGTGGCTTGCATTGATGTCATAGTGTCAGCCATTGTGGCGGCCTTGCTGCTCAGTGCATGCCCTCTGCAGCACACGTTGACACCACCGAAAGGTTTTCTCAGTAAAAATGAGTATGTTGTGTGCAAGCTGTATACAGCAATGACTTTTCATCTATCATTGACAGATAAATCAATTCTTTTGTTTTACTGGGTGCAAAGTGGGCCAAAAAGCATGAAAAACAATGTAGGATGGATGGCATTTGTGCAGAACGTGACATGGCACTTTACTGACTGTCGTTGAACACCAAACATTTTATGTCGCCTATTTTGCTGTGGCAGTTTTCCGGACGTCACTTTATGAGCCCATCAAGCATTGTAGATCAATCGTTATGTGGTGCCAAATTGTATAGTGTGGCAAGCACCAAACTTCTGCAATGCATTCAATTAAGTTGCTCCAAACAAAACTGAAACTTTAGCCCGCAAGTTTGCTATGTTGTTTACAGCCGATTTCAACCTTGATCTCCGACTGTTCAGGATTTAAACACCTAGTAGCTCAAATTTTAAAAAATAAACAGCAGGAAAAGTAAACAAAGGAATAAAATAAAGAAAATAAAAAAAGCTAGTAGCTCTCAAACTAAATATATATATATATATATATATATATATATATATATATATATATTAAACAACAGGAGAATAGAATAAAGAACTTAAGAAACAAAAACTTAAAAAATAAACAACAGGGTTGAAAAGTTCAGAGCTATATAGACAGCAACAGGAAAATAGAAAAAAAGGAAATCCAGGTAATCATGGTCGGGACTGAGTAATGTGCCCGAAGGTTCCGGAAGCTTCGTTGAAATCTGCGATCGGTATGACGTCATTCACAAACGACGAAAGAAAACGTCTTTGAACACCACCACTTCACTGATGTCACTCACACGTTACGGAATTTTCGGGCATCTAATCGATTCAAAAAGAGTCTTCATTGCAAAACAGCTCGCTTAAAAAACGCAAATACTACATGGAACTCTTAACAAAAAAGAGGTAGCGAATCTCAGCTTACCAGAAAATCTTCTTGCACGCGTCACACTTCATGGGCAAAAAATCTGGAATAAACAATGTGACACAATCAATTCAAGCCCGATCACTGTACAAAAGTCACAACCATTTACTGTGAAATCTATAGAACATCGTAGGGAAGGAACAGCGGCAGTAACTTGGATAGAGGAAAAGAAACTCTCACGACAGTTATTGCCGCTGTTCCTTCCCAAGATGTTCACTTTCAGCCCGATACGTCACATTATATACTTCCTCACTTAACGAACTCTAAGCGATGATGCATGGCAGCTTTATGATGAGAAAGTGCATCTCACCTAGCTTGTTGCAGGACGATTCTGAGCAATGTTGGCCGAGTTCTGGAAACTCCATCGCAGCCTGCAAACTTTTAGGCACAATTTTCACAAAGTTGATGTCACAATTGGTGAGCCCTGCAGCTTGTATGCCTCTGACGTCGTGATAGCGACTGATTCGTCAAGTTTCTAGCCGTGTTACTGCCTTTACGACGTGCTGAAATCAGTTGCACGGGACGACAGCACTGATGCGATGATTCGAAGCATTGCGTATGGCCTCCATTTTTATAAGTCACGATGGCGTAGAGCAAGGCGGCGGCGCTAGTGTCGCGTAAACATAATTTTCCTAGGGGTCGTGTTCCAAAATTTACTCCAACCTCGCGTCCAACGTTTTTCAATCTGTGCTGTCACATGACACGACCCGCCGGAGTAACTCACGAGCGTTTCGCCGCAGTAAGGTTGCAACGCCTATTGGCTGAGAGAAAAAGCAAAAACAAGCAAAACAACACAAATCGGAAGTGACGTAAGTTTTTTGTTTTGTTTCTTTTTTTAATTTTATTTTTTGTGCGCGTACGTATATTTTTGTTTTGTTTTCACTTTTGGTTCCTCCCAGAGGGTTCCTTCAAGTGTTTGTTGGGCGGTTTTCGGAGCGGTCGCGTCGGTTCCAACGGCCGCGGTATTGCTAAGTGGAGTTGGTCGTGATATTCAATGCTTGGCAACGAGCGTCGGCAGTGAAGTGAAGTCCACAGTGTCCACAGCGCATTCATGCAAGCTAGCGGGCCCCGTCTCGCCACATCGATGCCCGTGGGACGCTTGTTCGGAACGTAAAAGGTGAGTGGAATTTACCTACTGGTGGCGGCGTTCGATCGTCGATTCGGCACCGCTGTGGTGGAATTTGATAGCGCTTGGCTACCTCACGTAGCGTCGGGGACAAAGGAGAAGATAATAGAGATAATCAACGGGAGTGGCATGTGGCTCCCGGGTGCCTCCTGCGCCCCATTTGCATTCAGTAATCGCACTTAAAGAAGGACCAAGCGCGTTGGGAATGTCGGCTTTTGACGAGCTCGTGAAGTCACAAAAGCGTTCTGTCGAAAGACGGGATTTACAAACAGATCAGGCTTCGCGAATGGCCCTCCCGGCGCGTCGAATTTGTGGCGGGTAATAATGTTACTGATCATCCTGGTAGGCCTGCGATGGTGTTTTCTGCACAAATACTGTATTCTGCCTCGTGGTACATTCACACCTGCAGCAGAACTGCTACGCGATTCTGCTACAGGTTAATCGCGAAGAGTTGTGCTCTTCCATAATGTGCATGTTAAAGTGACAACAAATAAGTGCCTCTCTGTTCTACTTCTCCTTTGGTATTCAACTGGTTGTATTTTCTACTACATTTTGTTCACAAAGCCACTGCGAGACAGGCATTATTGATGTATACTATCCAAAATAATGCTTGAGCATGAGACGAGGTAACAGAAATACTTCTATATGTGCATGCTTTTTGTGTTTTTGCAAGACAAGGTAACAGAAATACTTCTTTAGGTGCCTGTTTTTTATGTTTCTGCAATTCACCGGCTAGACCACTCTTCTCATGGTTATTGTTTTGTTGGGTGCAAAATTTTCCACCCCAGGTGTCCGATGCTTGCGGCTGATGGCTTCTACCTATGTGCATCAAACAGCGGGCCTGCACCTTCGCCGAGACAGCAGTAAAACAGTTCTGGGTAACTGCAGCGACTGGGTCACCGATGCCGTTCCACTTCCTGCACTGCACTCCGCGTGGGTCAAAGGGCCAGCGCATGCCTTTTATGGGTTGTCGCCAGCCATAGTGAGTATGGCTTGGAGTCACGTCATGCGAGTGAAATGCTTGTCACCTGAGTGACATCAGGGGGGGGGGGGGGGGGGGCGCCGCCGCTGCCGCCGTTGGTGGGGCTATGACTAGAGCCACTCTATATGGCAGCGTAGCTGCCAGAGTAGCGACACGACGCAAAATTATCTAGATACACGACGTTAGAAGCGCCTATAGTGATCACCATTTTGGGCCTGGGAGGTTTCTATGGTAACCGTACTGCTAGCAACGCCGGGCGGCAACGTTTATCTAGTTGATATCTCCATTCGTTACTTGAAAAGTGGTAAAAGACCTAAAAGACTCTTTGCATGGCGGTACGGCACGGGCCTCTGGAGGAGCGGTGCCTGTTTCTTCTGTGAAATGAGACGATTTGCAGCGTGCACGGACAAGGCGAGTGGTTTTCCGCGCCGCCGGGATGGCGGCGGCTTCGTGGGACGAACGTACTGTCCTTGTACTGTCGGACTTCGCTCCTATGGAACAAAATCCGATTACGCCGGCCACAACAGAACGATTGCCTTGGGACATGACTGCTGCTCGACTGCCCCATAGTAAGAGAATGTATGCTTAGCACCATACTTCTTCAAGACCCAATCATTCATTCAAGATGAGATTATCTTACCGACTGGCGGGGAGCGACGTCGACGACGCTATCACCCTCGTTTTACGCGATGGACAGTCGACGGGGTTAAACCAAAAAGGACAGCACGGTGGTCTACAAAGGATTGTTAACGTCATCAAAAGAGAAGGGCGCCGGATATGCGGTGTTCTTGCCGACAGGCCAAGTGGTCGTCCGGAAGTTTACCGGCATGCAAAATGTCCATATTTTTATCTGGTGTAGCACGTATACCCGTGTTAAAGGGGCCATGAAATGATTCTTTAACTTCTTCCTCCTTAGCCTTAATCCTCAACTCAACAGAGAACAGTGGAATCACGCGGTCGTGACATGCTAGGGCACCGGTGCGATGACCCCAAGCTTGCACCCTGCTTTTTAAGCACACCATAGAACTTGTCATTCGGATGTGCACTCATGTGCACTCATTGGCCACGAACGCTAATTCAAATATTCATCGACGAATTGATTGCTGACGAGCGCATACGTCCGAGTGACGCAGTTTTCGTGTCAAATGCGTGAGCTGGGGTCAGCTGACGTCATTTTTGCTTTTGTAGGCATTGCAAAGAGGATATTTAGAACCATACACACATGATGATGGCATCATAGCACACGGACATTAATGAGCACAAAACGGGCCCTGCTACAGAAAATAAATATTACTCGTAAAAAATAATTGTCTGTAACTTGTTAATTACAAAGACGAACACACCTCTCAGCATATAAATTTAACAGTGTGTGTTGATGCATTCTTATACAGCAGGTCATTTCATATACGTCATTTGAGCAAACGCCAGCTTGTCACTTGAAAACAAAAACAAAAAAACACTGCGATCAAATGCAAGCTATTGCAACGAAAGGACGTTTATCAAAATCTTCAGAACTGTCAATTCGTAAAATCGTCAATTAGTACAAAAGGTTAAAGGTCGCAGGCGCTTCCTCGCTTAAAGTTGCTGTGATTATTCGGTGACAGAGGGCTGAAACAACTTCCCCTAGGCCCTACACACGACGTATACCTTTCGTCTCGATTCTCAGAAATTCCAACGTTCAAAGGAAGCTAGAAAATGCGAAAATGTTATCCTAAAAGCTATATCGTAAGATCGTTGATTAGTACAAAACGTAAAGATCACAGGAGCTTCCTCGCTAAAACTTTGTGATTACGCGGTTACCTGGGGCTGAAACAACTTCCCCAAGGTCCAACATGCGACGCATACAATTCGCATTGATTCTCAGACATTCCGACGTTCAAACAAGGCTAGGAGTATGCGAAAATTGCATGCAAAATGTCTTATCGAACCTTGAACACATCCAGGAATACGAGCACTGCTATCGCGATATGACTGATGCTGTCGCACAGGTGCTAATATCCAGAGCGATCTTGCACAGAAAAGGTATAAAGTCACATTCTTTCGGATCTTCACGTTATACCTGCGTCAGAGAGCACGAAGAAGTCCGAAATCGTCCGCAAGCAGCGGCACATTACGACTACCGCGCACCGAACAAACTCGTATCCACCAGCTCTGGGCGCTGCCATCTTACTGGTGACATCACGGCTCTTGCGAGGTCACGTGACGAGTAGTCACTCGGTTGCTAAGGGAACCGAGCCAGCTCAGCTCGTTGCTATGGTACCGCGTTTGACCAATCACGGTGAGAGGCTGCACAGGGAAAAGCGTGGCGCTACTCTGGCAGCTACGCTGCCATATCGAGTGGCTCTAGCTATGACCAGTGGTCTGCGATCACAGACCGCCAAGCACCATTGCACTGTTCCTGGATGAACTAGCCGCTCTTGAGGAAGAACAGGGTGCTTTGGGAAGAGATATGGTGTCCGCTTTTTCACTAGCTCCAGCTATCACCACAGACATTTTGTCGAAAGGAGCAACATAGACGCCGCTGAATGGCCGCAAGGGGCCTCGCTTCTGACCGAGGGGGTCAAGATAGTCCCGTTTCAACAGAGGTACCTCTTGGGGTATTGTACAACACAGGAAATAAAGGGCCCGAAAGTTTTCTACCTCGACGAGGTGTGGGTTATGGCAGGACCAATTTTCTCAAAGGTTCGAGTAGACAAAAATGCGGCTTTGTTCCGTGGACACCTTCATGTGTGGTGGCACGAGGCAGTCATTGCTTAACCTTGCTTAAAGATCAACGACTGGACTGGTCAGGGGTGGCGTGCCTGAGAGTGGGACAGTAGACGGCTGTTATATACCAACTTTAGTCTTCATTCACCCCTTAACTGACAGGGCACTGGAGGCTACATGCTCGGTGAGCCAGCCGATTGTCAGTCTTGCATCACTTATCATGCCCCTTTCTCATACAGATGTGCAGATCGGACATGAGGCAATAAAAGCTTGGTCCACCAACCACATGGCTCCTTCCGCCCTGTCAGCATAGGGGTGAACGGAGCGTAGGTGCGGCAGGGTTGGTGGAGTCTGCTGAGTGCTTCTGGCGTAGCAGCTCGGCAGTGGTGAGTTACTAGAGCACAAAATGCAATACCGCACTTTACTCTGAATGCTGTGAGCCATCGGAGCCAATCCAGTGCTGAAGGTGTGTCACGTGGCCTGTTCGTTGGGCGCAACGGCACGTTGAGCACAGTGTCATCTGGCAGCGACAAAGAGTTGGATTGGCTCCGGTGGCTCGTATCGTCAGCTGGGTACAACACAAGGTGAAACGGAGTAGAATGTGATGGCATGTCGCATCACAGAAGGTGAGCAAAGTAAACAGATAAAAGTTTGATTTTTAGAGTGCCTATGTTAGGTTTTTGTTGCCTCTTTCGGTGTCCTTAAGAGCCCAAAGGCCTGCCTATCTCGACATTTGTAGTCCCTATCCTGGGCCCGCCACCAAGTTCACACCCATCCAAAACAGCATGAAACTGGTAAACAATATTCTAACCCTAAAATTAACTTGGGCTGTTTGTACAGAAGGAGCATGCT